TACATCATCAATAAGGTGTATACTGAATTTTACAGTAATAAAACTGATATTTTAGTGGTGGGGCGCTTGATTGTCATGCAAAAATATTATATAAATATTGTTTTTTATGATATATTATTTTAATACATAATGTTTTTCACGTATATGATTTTACTAAATTTATTATTTTTATATAATATTTAATATAATAGATCTTCAATTCGTTGGGGTGACTTCTGAGCAGGGTGAAGTCTGAGACTGTGATTTCTCCTCAGATTGAAAATGAGATCAAGGAGGAACAGGAAGTGAAAATTGCTCTATCAGAGCGCCACGCTAAACTGTCAGACATCTTCAGCACTCAAAGGAAAAAGGAAGATGACATGATTGCCGAAAAACACAGTCTGTCCAAACGGTACATTTGTCTCTTTAGTACTCTTTCTTCTTTGCTTCATCCTGATGACTAACTTGAAATGTATATTTAAAATGATTTTGTTTTGTTCCAGGTTAGAGGAGAATAAACTTAGACATGATGAAGACATTATATCCATTGCCAAATGTAGATTTGAAATGAAAAACATGAAAGAAGAGACGAGACAGCTTCATGATGCTAACATGTATGGCCCTGTCTTTTGTTTTATGGTTTTGTCTTACTACATTACAACTAAATTGTTTCATACCTTTATTTTAATGGTTGTCTCTCAGAATCAGTTCAGATATGTTCAGAAAAACTCTTGAGGAACAGGAAGGTCAATTGGCCAAACAGAACATGATCAGGTCTGTCTAACATGTTATTTTAATATTACTTATGATGATATATACTTTTTATATACTTATGATATCTATCTTCTATGGAAGACTAACCTGAAAAACATACTTGAGAAACCCCAGGTAAATCTGTTAATTGCATATTAAAGAGAATCTTGATATAGTTTTTATCTGTTTTAAGTTTAAGGAAAAGCATGTCTTATGCATATATTTATCTTAATGTAACTTATTATTCTACCCTATTCTATACTATCCACTTTCTGCTGTAATGTTGAAATTTCTTACTTGTGAGACAAATAAAGGCTGATCTAATCTAATCTAATATTCTCTGAATAGAAGAAGCAGTTTATCTTGAGTAAAGCTTCTCTTTATTATGCAATTGGCAGTGTTTTTTTTTTTCTCCATTTATCTGGGGTTTATAAATTAATTTCTGCATTCTTATTTTGCTTCTCACGTCAGTTGATCTTAAGAATATTTATTTTAACCGGGACGAATAAAAGACAACAATACTGCAATACTTTTTGCAATGTATGAGAAAGTTCAATTAACAAGTAATTAAAAATACCATTTCAAATGGTTTAATTCATGTTTAATATGTGGTTAAATAAATTTACATTTTTTAAAACATTTTTAATATGATCTGCAAATTTAGTTAAATGTCATTAGACAGCTGACCATGAAAAAAAATCAATAAATTATGTTATCTCCTCAAATCATTAATTTTTTCCCCGCCAGCGTTTTTTTCTTTTCTTTTTTTTTAGTTGCCAGCCAGTGTTTTTGATCATTTTCACAAAACTTTCATGGCCCCCAGAAAATCGTGTTGTATGAATAAAAAGAAAGAACAGAGTCTCTGCTTCTAAACAAAAAAAAAGTTCCATAATTTCCATAAAAACGCAACATTTTGAAAAAAAAAACAAAAAAAAACGGAGAATATCACGTGTTTGTCAAAGACTACAACACATGCTTCTTCTTCGTCTGTGTTTTGATCCGGAGATTCTGTACTCTTTCAGAAGATGTCTAATAGCGCCCCCTACTATATAACAGTGAAAGCATGTATTGCCGGAAATTCCATCAATGGCGGGGAAAGACTTATGGTCATTATTATGACATTAACATATTTGTACCCAGGGCAGTAATTGAAGCTGAAAGAGAGAAAATAAGTCAGTCTCTCAAAACTCTAAAAGAGGAACACAAGGAGTATGTAAGGAAGATGAATGCATCCATCGAACAAACAGAGAAGAGATATGGAGAGCTTCTCGATGAGGTCTGACAGAATCACTAATCAGTAGTGGTGGCAATACAAACAGACATCGTTGTATCTAAACATGCAGTTGTTTTTGCAGGAAAAGAAACTCCAAGACCATATATTATTGAATTCAGTGATAGAGGATCTTACAGAAGAGCTGTCCAACACTGAGGAAGAGGGAAAACAACTGGAAATGAACTACCAGCCTGAAATTCTACAGCTTACTGTACAAGAGAAAATCCTTTTGTATACTTATTATAAGCTCAATAAAATATTTTGAGATGGATGTGGTTTAGCTAAGCGTGCATAACTGTATCCGCAAACTAAAAATGTATGTCTTCTTGTGATTCAAAAGAGGGATGCAGAACCAATCGCTCAAGCTCATATGGAGAAAGAGCAGGAGCTCAAGGTCAAGGAGTCGGTTTTAGAGGCAGTGGAGTCTCAGTTAGACATTGACCATCTCAAACATCAGACTTTAAAGAACCACATAACAGGTACAGGCTTCATTTCTATTCTTCTCATGTAGCTCAACACTTCACTGAACTATGGAGTCATGAACCCATATCGGCCCAGGTCCGACCCATATCCGGCAGGCGTTGAATCCGCATGTACCAGATGTGGCCCGGATCTAGGCCGACAATATGTTGCTGTCTGGGTCTATAATTGCAAATTATTAATATGAGAAAGAATAGAGATTAACATAGCATAGTAAATTGATGTTTGGCCAAATTTAATGGCACTTGTAGGTTAACTCAGATGTTTTTGTACGGATTTTGTGTTTGTTCCCTTTACCAGAGTTGGAAAACCAAAAGAAAAATCTTGAGCTCTCTATTCAGAAGGTCACAAAGCAGACTGCGACTCTCCTACAACCAAAGGTTGATATTTACTCAGCATGCACATTTCCCAATTGTGTGCTAAATTGATGGTTTTAGGCTACGTCTACATTAATCCGGATAGATTTGAAAACGCCGTTTTCGCTTCAAAAACTCTCTTCAACGACTCTAGCATTGTCATGTGTTTTTCAATGTTCTCGTCCACACTGACGCTCTGTTCGAATATCCCTACTACGTCTTCCATACTATATAGTAGGCGAAAAACAGTATGTTTTGTGGATTCCACATGTACCAGATATCTATTGGTGTGCATCACTTGACTAAACACGTAATTGTTTTCAAAAACTTCCGGTTTCACACTACGATGCCATTTACAAATTTATCCACTTGGGAAAGCATTTTCAAAAAGTTTTCGCAGGACAAAGACAACATCTCAGTGTACGGAAGGCTAAACCGTAGAGAAAAATATGCGTTTTCAAATGTATCCGGATTAGAGTATTAGTGCCTTAGAGTCTATTTGTATGTTTGCTGCCATGTAGGATGATCTGAAGAAAAAAATGATGACTTTGAGGGCCAAGCATATGGAGACGTTAACTTCTAACGCTGCAGAGATCAGTGCAGTTGAAAAAAGCATCTATGAGAACAGGGTCATGCTCGAGCAAGTTCAGATGGAAAACAGTCGTCTGCATATGGTGAAAACTTGCCCTAATCAGCACAGACACATCCGCACATCACTTGAGATGTTTTTTTCCAACAGTGCTTTCTAACAACTCTGTACTTGCAGTGCATTGAACAAATGAAGGAGGAAATATTGGATGCAGAGAAAGACAAGGAAAAGTATCTGCAGGAGGCCAAGTGGATGACGGAGGGAAAGCAGTCGCTCTTTAGTGAGTCTTTTGACAAGCACTTAGCCATTTTAAAGTATTGTGCTCTTAGTATAATGATCCTGGACCATTCATGTGTCTTTTCCATCCCTAGAGAGTCTAATAGACACCTGGACCACAGATATGCTGCTCACTGAGGTACAAGCAAACAAGCAAAATATACTAATTAAGCTCAACCAACAGCACTGTTGGTATGCTGTCGATTATTACTCGACTTATTAAAAAGTCTTTTCTGACCTTGATGTTTTGATGAACTTTACTTTACAAAACATGAACTAATCAGGAGTCTTTTATTTTAGGAATCTGCAGTTCAAGACCAGAAGATTGTGGAGAGCATATACAGTCTCATAGTAAGGATTCAAGAAAGAAAACATCACATCGGTGACATCAACAACAGGCTGGAGAAAGAGTTAGTGGGTATGAGTTCCATGTTAGAGAAGCCAAACTAGAAAAGCCAGGAAATAAACATTTACACTTTATATTAATATGGAACAGCATTTCCACTATTTCCAACCGAGATTGCAATCTTTACGAGCAACTTCTAGCTGATTTGAAAGATCTTATTACGGAAACATTTATATTGATTATTAGTAAAAATGACTTTTCTCTGCATTAGGTTACATGAACTGACAATGAGCAAAATAGTTTTTACAGCATATTAATCATTGATAATGATAGTTAGTAAAATACCATCGTTCATCGTGTTCATTTTAGCTCACAATGCATTGACTTATGTTAACAAATACATCTTTTGATTTAAAAAATGTACTGTTAAATGCATGACATCAACTAAGATGAAAAAAAAACTGTATTGTTTATTGTTAGTTCATGTTAACTAGTGTATTCTCCCTCCATTTGGTTACCTAACAAATAGAAACTTACTGTAACTTTTACCAAAAGTTCCTTGACCTAACATGTTATTAATTTCCATGACTCTGAAAACTGACAAAATTAACACTTGCTTTAAATACTGTTAAAAAATATCACATCTATGCAAAAAACTGTCACAATAATTTATTCAACAAGTCAAACACGGTTGACAAATGTTCATTTCCATTGATTTGATGGCCACCAACCACCAACATGTAAAACATTATTACATATTAAATTGCATGTTCAATAAAACTGTTTAAAACATTAATGTCTCTAATCAGTTTGTTATATTCCACATACCTGTAGAACTTATAAATATACGTTTAAAAAATCTTTAGTCTAGTGAGGATGAGTGTCTGAGAACATTGAAAACTACATAAGAATTATTCTCACAATACAATGTGTGTGCAGACTTACATATTCAGCAGCAAAACATTCATAACATGCTAATATGATTTGTCAAGATATTCCTTTTATAGTGTTAAGCTATGATTTAACCGCACATGAAAAGAAAACGGAAATACATACAATTATATTTGGCACAAGAAAGTTTGTCATACGAAAATGGTTAACATTACTTCAGGGCACTCAAGAAATTCACAGACCAGCTGTTTCATATATATATCACACAAAAAATACATTGTACATTACAGCAAATTGTTGATTTGTAACTATTCTTGACAATAGATACAAATTGCAAATTATAATGAATAATATATAGTTAGGTTACAATCAATTTACAAAAACATTGACTACTTTCCAAAACTCGCTTTCAGGATTCAAAGGAAAACAGTAAAGAAAAAGAACATTCTTTACAAAGCATTTCATTCATAATCTCCGTTCAATCAAGCAACCCCCCCCCCCCAAAAAAAGCATATTCACAGACGTAACAGAAAACTTTATGGCAATATATCATGAGTAATAACTAAATGTTTTGTTTATGGCTTTTTGGTGTTCATGCCAAAGGTGTTACTGAATTAAAAGTTGCTCCACGGCATCTGTATGCAGCTCTAACGTGCGGGTTTGTGGGGAAGTTGATTCTCCTACAAAGGAAGTGACATCAGTGTCCATTCCCACCCTCTGACAGAATTCTGTTCGGCTCCGTGAACCTGGCCGTTAGCAGGTAGAAGAGAGCGGGTCCGGGCACCAGAGCCAACAAAGGCAAATCCTGCCCCAGTTTATCCAGTCGGGATATGGAAATGATACCGTATGCATGGAGGAGCCAATGGCTGAAGAGAACCACGAGGCGTTTCTTCTTAGCCACAAGGTTTTTGAAAGACTGCAGGAGATAAACCACAAATATTTTGACATATTTGTCTAAGAACATGAACTAAAAAGCACTGCGACATAAATAAAAAACATATAGTGCATAAATATATATACCTGTATCTCTGAAGCTGACATGTAAACTGCCAGCGTGACCAACGATAACACCAAAATAATATATGGAAATGCATAGTCTGATAACATAAGAGGGAGATATAAAAACACAAGTCAACTAGGTACATTTTCAAATTTTCATTAAAAACGAAAAAAAAAACACTCACAAAGAAGTCCTCCTCCAACCGCCTGCAGGACAGTGAGGATGGGGAAGAAGTACAGCGCTGCGTAGATGCTCTTGAAACGATCCGTCTTGCCTAAGCCACATGCAATCTTCTTGACCAAAAGTGGCCGCAGAAGCATCATGAAAACAAGACAGAAGGCGTAGAAGATCAACACAATGGTGTACCTGAAAAAAACAACAACAAAAAAAAACAGGAAATCAGAAAGAAATAGGGTTGTAACAATGTATTGTGTCACAATGTATTGCAAATTCGCAACTAAAAAAGAAAATGCAACAATACAGACATCCCAGTTCTGCCGGAGGTTCCGGGAGTCTCCCGCATATTTATAGCTTCTGCCTGATACGCTCAAATGATATACAATATAACGGAAATCGGGCGAGTGTGGGAGAAGCCGTTTCCACCTGGTATTAACATGCGTTTTCGGTGATCCGATCACAAGTGGCCAGCCAAGACGCATTACCGTTTACACCAGGTACTAACACTAACATCTCCTGTGATCACTTGCGTTCGGAATCCGTCTAGACTGAATATAATTCAATGTAGTATAATATATATATATAACTATTAAAAAAATATTTTTTTTTGGGGGGGGGTTGGGGTCTGACAATATGTATATGGATGTTAGAGCCCGACCGATATGGATTTTTGGGGGCCGATACCGATATTAGGGAGTAAAAAAAGCCTGATACCGATATATCGGCCGATATTATTTATGTGTGTATTATAATACAGTAGCAATATTATTTATGTGTATTATAGTACAGTATACCAGTCAAAAGTTTGGACACTTTCCTATTGGTGTGTACAAACTTTTGATGGGTACTTTACACAGTAGCTATAAACAGAATAAATATATTTTATAAACACGTTTTGCAATGATCACTCAAATGTGGTAATCAAACACTTGTGTGACACAGATATGTAATGGAGGCAGGGGGAATGATAGAATGAGAATTATACAGTTGAGCTGTAACCAAACTAGTTTGCATTGCATGTTATATTATATTATATTCTAAATACTGTTGCATAATCTTCACTAACGACTTTGTCTTTTAATTTAGTCATAACTTGTATCAATAAATATATAAAAAGTGTCACTGACAAAACCTTATTATCTTCTATTTTTACTCTTAATTCCTCTAATCTACCAGTGGAGGAAGAACTCAGATCTTTTTTACTGAAGTAAAATTAATAATATCATAATGAAAACGTTTTTAATTACATATGTACAGTACTTTTATACTATTTTAAATAATTAGTAACCAAAATGTACTAAACGTGAAACTAGGCTACTCTTAATGCAAAATGGCCCTATATAAAGTGTTATAATTATATACATTTTTGGAATATTGCTTGATGTTGTAACGTAGCGTTATAGGCAGAATGAGCTTTAACACTGTGTCTACACACCGGACGCGGCCGTTACTGCTCGCGTTGCAACAGCTGTTTACCCGAGACAAAGCAGAATCAGTTTACTGTCGGAGATCGCTCGCGCCACGCATTTTAATCAATGTTTCATCAACCAATTGCCTTAATAAATAAGAAGTAGGCCTAAATATAGCAGACAATATAATCAGGACTTCTCAGCTGCGCGCTTGTAATAGTCACAAGCTCACACAATACGTGACAGAGGCTTGTAGCAGAGAAATCAATTCTGTGAATTACACTGCGCAAATCACAAGTAGGCTACTACCCACCGGATGAAGAAGGGTTGGCTCTCAGTCTCCTCAGGCTACATAAAATATTCGTTTTATTTTATTTTATTTTATTTTTCGTGTTCGCATTTATGAGGAAAAAAAACAATGTTACAGACGCGACAGTTCAGCACTACGGACGTGAGCGCTCTGAAAGCGGCACTAAAATATGCTTTGAAACTTTCACATAGACATCAAACAGAAAGCACAAAACCTTTCGTTTCAAAGTGAATTTCGTTTTGTATTAATTGTATCTTAATTTTAATCAATGTTTCATCAACCATTTGCCTGGATTTAATTTATAAGAAGTAAATATAGCAGACGATAGATAACCTCGACACGGAGGCGCCTGCGGGTGAACTGGAGCTCGTCTCATGAACCGAAACTCAGCGTATAGACCTGAGAATTGAAATAAATCTATATTGAAATGTCTACTTTTAAACAGAACAATTCGAAACGAAAGACAGACAGACTCATGTAATCGTATGAAATGTGCATTTCTCTCTGGCACACTGAAGATCGCGAGTCAGCATCGTCAACTTCATCTTTGGCTGACATGCACTGACTGAAAACACTTGTTTATTAATAAACAATTAAAATGTCTCCTTGCTATATTTGTTGTATTCATAATCATTACTTTTGCCAGTTCTTGTGACAGCTTTTAGATGCTTTATTGGCAGCGCCACCCTTACATGAATCACCGCACCCGCATTTTTTTAAATATTCATTTATCGGCCATTATAAATGCCGATACCGATAGTTAGGGAAATGCCTAAAATCGGCCGATAATATCGGCCCGCCGATATATCGGTCGGGCTCTAATGGATGTCAAATATGGTAAACACAGATGGTTCTCATTCGCGCTTGAATATGTTTTACACTATAAAATAGGGGTGTAACGATATTTGAACCGAACCGAAAAACCGCGATACACCACCCACGATACGTATCGCGATACTCTCATGGCGAACCGAACACGCCCCGCCCCCTGCTGCCCCGCCCAGACCCGGCTCATTGCACCTCATGTGTTATGTGTACACAACGAATACAGGGCTGTTGCCTAACCACCATTAACCACATATAATCGCAATAAGCTCAGTGTTTTGTTACTTTTGATAATAAGCAAGGTGTAATCTTTCAAATTATGTCTATTTGATCACGAAATGCAAACAATAAATGCCGTTTTGGCGCTCTTAGATGTGGCGTGACAGATATCACTGTATGCATGCGGCAGCGCGGAGCGCGATCATCTCTTCCTCAGTTACAGAATAAACATGAATGGACACCCGAAGGTATGTTGAAAGATACAGTATACTGAAAGGCATCATAACTCGTGTAAACACTCAATCAGTGTTTCAACAGCGGAAATACGTCAATAAAACGCTTAGTTTTTCACATAGCTTTATATTTACCTCAGGCAAGTCATTCAGTGTCCACAGCTTGCTGGTTTGCTAACTCTTTCACTAAATAAATGCTATATATTAGCCTATATATTATATTTTACTTAACCTGTTTATGATATCTTGATTATTTAATGTATGTTTAAAATAGTTGTCATGAAAATAACAGCAACTGTGTAAATTATTATATAACAATAACAAATTAGAGTAAAAACATGTTAATGCAAAAATTGCCTTATGTGCAGTTTACATGTTTTCATACAATTTGTTATTTGAATGTTGATTATTATTATATCATTTAGGCTAAAAGTCTAGGCTCTGTTGTTAAGCTTTAATGTTATAGTAATGTGCAAGTAAGGGCTGTAGTTTACAGCATTAGCAGATAATTTTGTTATCCTTGAGAAACGTTTACTTGTAAATGAATTAATTTAAAGACAAGGAAACAATTTGTTCATTAAAGCACTGTTTAATAAAAAATAAAAGCAATTTTAGCTTTCTAAACCCCCCCACCCCACCGAAATGAACCGAACCAAACCGAACCGAGACCTCAAAACCGTGGGACGAACCGAACCGTCAGGTTTGTGTATCGTTACACCCCTACTATAAAATCTGGTGAAATACTTAACATATAACTTCGTTATAGCTACTTAATAAATGTATTTGCTTCTTCTTGGACTACTAAAAGTGTTCCTGCAACAGGAGTATTCTCTGGCTAGAGCGCAGAACAGCGGAGTTTGTATGGACAGTAGGGTTGGGCCGATGGACATCGTGATGGCTGACAGACATCACGATGTTTAGACGGCATCGGCTAAACATCGTGTGTCCCCTGTTTCCATGGTGACGCGTCATGCTTGGCACGTGATTCACCACAGCCAAAATAGCGCTGTATGACAGATTTAGCGCTTTTATTTCTAAATATTAACAAACTTGCTTACCATGTCATGAACTATCTTCTATTCCGATTCTCAAATATGTGTAAGTGAGTTTTTGTCGTTTAAAAAAACGTTATAAATTATCTTGATCTGTAACGTGAGATGGGCGCCGTGTTTGGGCCGCAGTTCAGAGATTCCTGTCTGTTGGATTTATTACAGCGCGTGAATTCACCAGTTTCTCCCGAAATACATGAAAGTAAGTGGCCGGTGAACTGGGAGAAAAATAGAGTTGACTTTATAGCTATTTACACTGTGTCTCTCTGATATGAATAAAAACCGTCGTCAAATATATTTGAATGGGCTGTTATTGCTGCTTCCATAGACACCATTGTGTATTTTACAAACTATAAATGTATTGTTTTGCTATAAATTATATGTATTTAAATGTCTGAAACCTAAAATAAACATTATGTGGTTAAAAACACTGAACAGTTGTGATATAGCCTATGACAAGCGCTGAGCGCGTCTGTCTTTGGCTCAGGGCCAGCCATAGCGCGAAAGCACGCAGTTTGAATCTGGCAGTGATGTCACCTCACTGTACAATCGCTCTAGTGCTCAGCTGCTGCAGAGCTGCCGAAATCGAAATTGCTGATGAGATAGAGGAAAATATCTAGTGGAAAATGAGAATGTTACGAAAATACCCCTCCCTCTCCCGCCGATGTCATCGTCCATCGCGATGTTTCACTGTAGACATCGTCTGATGCCAAATTGGTAGAAATCGCCCAACCCTAATGGACAGAAGTGCATGCCTGAGCTTGTATTTTGGGTTAAGCTGCGTTGCTTTGACATTGTGGAAAATAGAATAATAGAAACAAAATGTATTATCCTTTTTACCCGTTATTATCAATCTATATTCATCTACTGCGAAATATAGGAGACTTTGAGATTTTACTGGGACGTCACAATTTAGTTTATCTTTATTTGAATTTCGTTTTTATTTAAATTTCGTTTTTATTTTTTATTTATTTAAATTTCGTTTTTATTTATTTAAATTTCGTTTTTATTTATTTGAATCTACCCTACTTTGTCAGTGAGAAATACAGTGAGAAATTATAAGACTATACCGTATTAAAAATATAACAGTGAACAATGAACAGTGTCCGTTCTCAGAGCATATAAGCCCGAAGCTCAAAAAATGGTATTCAGACCAGCCCTAGAACAAACTGCACGGAAAGCTAAGATGGTTGGCTAGAACCACCGAAGTGTGCAGAGCTCAAGCTACACAACACACTACACAAACATGAAATTAATTTCGCCAATGTTAGTACTTGTTTTTGTCTCCTTCACGAGAGACAATGGGGTGCCTTCGTTTCAGATGCTCCCACATTGCTGTTGTGGTAACTTATGCCAACTCCATTTGGCAAAGAGCGCAAATAACGACACCTTTACGTTTGGGACTAAATTTAAAGTATTCCCATACCTTCGATGATTTAGGGCGAGCTGGTTTTTTTTAGGACATTTTCTTTTGTTGGGGCTTTTATTGGGGCTTTTTGCATGGTTTTGTTGGGAATTCTGTGAAGAGGTTGCTGTTTCGTCCTCCATTCTGCAATGTTTCGGTCTCCCACGTGTGTGTGGCGAGCTGTACCTCCAGGAACGGTGCAAAAAAATTATTATAAATAAATAAATAAAGAAGTGTCGACGCAAAAATATGACATCGACGTAATTTTGACGTTGAAGCGTCGACGCACCGCTACAGGCCTATTAACACAGAAGTACTGGGATAAAAGTTTATAGTTTGGAAATAACATCAGTAAGAGGCGTATTTAATTGAATCATTGAATCACTCATTCTAGAGATTTGTTCAAAAACACTGATTCATCCAGTAATGAAGCAAATGAAGTTCAGACTGATTTAAAAATAATAATTCAAATTAATAAAAAAAAATTAAATAGACTGCAGCAATTTCGTCAGAACCTCTAGTAAATTATGTTATTGTTTAGTTGTCTATTCAGGATCGTGATTTGCCTTAAAAAAAAACTGTGATTCTCAATCTATCCAGAATCATGCAGCTCTAGTTACACCCCTGGAAACCAACAGAAATAACTGGAGCCTCAAATCAAATGTAAAGGGCACTCACAGAGGGAACACAGCCTCCTGCGTGCAGTGCAGCGTGGTGACGTAGTCAGGACTGGGGTTATACAACATGGTGTACCAGTCAGAAAGCATCTTAACCTCGCAGGAACGAATAGACAGCTGGCCGACGGGATCGTTGAGCAACAGAGTCACTACGGCAGCTGCCGTGCACTCGAACAGGGCCGTGATATGCTGGAAAAGGGCACTAGAACTGGAGATGACATTAGGAGAGCATTGGTTCGTTTGGAAAGATGCATTATCAAAGTTTAAGGCATAGCTTTGCAAAACAAAATCAGATCAATATCAATAATATTGCCTCATATATCTTACTATTGTTTAGCACAAGAAATTTTGACAACTACCTTTTCTTCCCAGAATACCACTCAATGAAGAACCAGTGCAGGACCAGAGGCAGCATCGCCATGAAGCCCAGGTACAGCCAGTCATACAGCTCAGGAGAGCCCGTGCATTTCATGCAGATCTTCTCTAGGTTTGTCCTTTGGCCACGAGGACAGACCTTTATAATGAGAATGGTAAAGGTTATGAACAGTCCGCAAAACACCACTAACTGTGCAATCATACATATCAGTACAAGCAGAACTGTTCTCGGATGACCAGGTGACAGCGGTTGCAGTTAGGAATAACTAATGGACTTCCAAAGAAATAAAGGTAACACTTTCCAAAAAGGTCTCATTTGTTAACATTAGCTAATGCATTATCTAACACAGGTTTTCAACATTTTAGATCCCATGGACCCCTAAATATAATCATCCTTGTGTAAAAAAGGCGTATAGTTTTTATAAACATCCAATTTATATACCGTACTAGAAAATGTATATTATAAATCTAAAAATACTTTTTATTAAGTTACATTATCATATTTTTTTTCTACTCACCATTAAGAATGTACTGTTAATGTATTATTTAATTTTAATAATAGTCATTTATTTTGATTTTATTATTTATTTAGAACAGTTTTTCTCTAGACTTTTCAATGGACCCTCTGTCACTCCCTTGTGACCCCAGTTTTAAAAAACCTGATCTAGCAAAGGAACAATGCGCAATATATTTTGAAGCATTTATAAATATTGGTTAATTAATGCTAGACTAGTTAATAGAAATACAATTATTTATTGTTTGTTTGTGTTGGTTCACAGTGCATAAACTAATATTTACAGATACAAATTTTCTTTTGATTTCATCATCTATCTATAAATTACAGGAACGTCTGTGTGTGTGTGTGTCTGTTATTCGCATATCTCTCGAACCGTTAGTCCGATGGATTTCAAACTTGACAGGTGTCTTGCTGCTACGGCACAAGTAAGTGCATTGCCAAGTTTGACGTTGTTTGGATTAGAAATGCAAAAGATATCGGTAAATATATCGGTAAAAGAAGGTTGTGGTTTAAAAATAAACATTCTGACATAAACACTCTGTCAGCTAAACATTAAGTCAGTTTACTGTACTGTACAATTACACAGCAAAAGTTCAGTGACATTTTTATATGTGCATAGTAGAAAGCAAATACTGATACTGACATAATGACATACAATAAATATGGAAAATTTAACTACACGATTCAGGGAGCAGGCTACACAGTGAACTCCGAGAAAACGCTACGCTTGAGCAAACAGTTTGTGAATAGGCTACTACAAATGATGGCCGTGAATAAAATATAATATTCAGAACAGAAGTAAACAATGTAGCTGACTTGGGTGATGATACACAGGGCAACTTTTTGAGCAATGTTGCTGGACAATCTTGCCGAGCGATTGTTGCTTGGGCACTTTCCCATTGAAAATGGGCAATACATTTCTATCTGGATAATTTAGATCGGTCGTTGGCCCTGTGTCTCATCTGGTTGCCCGTTGACGCCAACATTGCCCAGCAACATTGCTCAAAAAGTTGCCCTGTGTATCATCACCTTTAATGTTTAGCTGACAGAGTGTTTATGTCAGAATGTTTATTTTTAAAACAACATTCTGACATTAGAGGGTCAACAAAACAATGTCAAACTCGACACTGCACTTACTCGTGCCCGTAGCAAGACACTGTCAAGTTTGAAATCCATCGGACTAACGGTTCGAGAGATATTCGAATAACAGACAGACAGACGTTCCTGTAATTTATAGATAGATGAGCACTCAAACACATCAAACCGACAATTACTAAAAACACACACAAAAACTGATTTTGCACGGGCACTTTGCACCAGTTAACATTAAGTGTAATAAAAGCTGTAGAAGTATTGTTCATTGTTAGTGCATGTTAACTCATTTAGTTAAAGTCCCCCTGAAGTAGTCATGTTATCCCTTAAAACTCATCTTTGATCTCCAAAAAATTATTCATGCCTTAAAATAGCTTGAATATATAACTCTACTACACCCTTGCCTCGTTTAGTATATGGGGTTCTATGAATATGCTAATTAGCCCCGCCTCCACTCACACCAGGGGCATGTTCAAGATCACAACGGTGCGCAACGTTTTGCTACGGTTTCCGGGTTTGGTCATGTTTCCTGGAAACGGCGTGTACTGGTGTGCAACGGGGTTTGAGATGCGTTTTCTCTTGTTTAGTGGGTGTGTCAGAACTGCAGTCCAATCAGCAGCAACATGTATATAAAGCACACGGTATTAAAGAGAACTCGCACAATGGAAGTAATTTACAAATGTGTTCGATAAGCAACAACTGAGGATATTAGAAGACATGTTTGTCGTAAGTATTATTGTAAAAATATAGGATATCAACATAATGATGTAGTTGTTTATATTTTTAGCTTCATTGCAAGTGTGTGACATTTGGTATAGAAATAAACAATGCATGTAAAGTGCTTTTCCTAAAAATGAGAAAGAAAATACAGGGTATTAAAACAGTATGAACAACAAATAAAGTCAGTATGTGAGGCTAAATAGATGTGTTTTAGTCTTTATTAGGTAAGATGTACGTGCTTCCATTTCAGTTTCCACAAATCCCGGCACTGGATTGGGATGTTCTCTTGTGTTCTGGGCGGCAAGTGCAGTAACTGTAACATCGGGCATATTTTGTAGTATTAAACACATTTATACCGACTTCATCAGGCTCCGAAAATTCTTCACAAAGAACACAAAAAGCCTTCTCAGCTGCCGTAGTTGCAACTCTTGCGTCATCACAACAGTGCGTTCAACGCATCACCGTTTCTGTTAAAAAAAACGTTCCAACGTTTTGTCGGCGCTGAACGCAGCCCAGCTCAGAGATCCACACGTTGACGTGATTGGTTACAAAGTAGTTTGTGACGTCAGAAATACCAGCGATATCAAACCCCGTTTTTTAAGCTGTCTTTGTTTCACTGCAGTTTTAAGGAGAAAATACTCAGCAATGGTGTTGACTTATGAATTTGTACATGGTTTGTGTTAAAGCATATTAAAAAAACACCACATAGACAACACATTCATAAACAATATTAAAAGCTTGATTTTCACCAAAGGGAGTATTTAACTAATGTTAATAAATGAAACCTTAATGCAGTGTTACAGAAATACACAAGGGTGTGAACTAGTAAAATGCACATTAGGGTGCATAATATATACACAACTGTGCTGTCAATATGACATTTTGCATGAGTACACATTGTAATCAGGCAGTTACACAATCTGTGTGTTTTATTCGGACCGATTACATGAATATGATGCACTTACCCCACATTCTCCTTCAATAGATTCATTTATGATGGTCCTTCCACAGTACAGCCCAGGACAAGTGGAGCTCATTGATACAGCTGCATTACATCCAGAAAAACATCATTAAAAAACACCCCTTTAATTCAAAATATAGACATGCAATTTGCAGTGTTGTTATGGCAGTAAACTAGCGATTCTATCAACAGCAAAAAAACAATAAGATATTGTCATTAGTTGTTTGCAATACATATTTTTCGTTTTAACATACCCATGTCATATGCAGCATTACAAAGCTATAGATAGGCCCAATTTGTTGGTTAGTGATTTTAATCCGCAACGATCCAAACGACGCAACAGAAACCGGAAGAATAAACACACTCTTCTTCTTCAAGTGAATGTGGGACGTGTTCCTAAAAGGTGAATTGTTTGACAGCGCCACTCACTGGTCAGATGTACTCTAGAATAGATAGTATGTGTAGTAGAATAGATGTGTACATGCATTTGACAGTCATTCAGATCCATGATATATACAGTCAAACCAAAAATTATTCAGACACCAGATATAATGTTTGGTATTTTTTTACTAGTGGGTGCAGGACACTATAGTCCATTTATGTAAGTGAGGATAGCAAAATAAAGTAAACTGTGACATAGGCCTACCCAAAAATTCTTCATACAGTGGACCAGTAAAATGTATAAAAATGTGGTACCAAAAAATTATTCAGACACTTTGACCTGACCATGTTTTGCTTGTGTATTTTCTTTAATTGCTGTTGCTAATGGTATTATTTAATTGTGTACTTAGATTTAACAGCTGACAGCTATTCAACATAATTCATTTGTTAGACAGAAGGATGGCCAAAACCAGTGAAATATCAACTGATTTGATAACTCTAAATTATTGACATATTTTATTACCATTTTATAAACTATAGTGAATAAACTGTTTGAAATGTTGAAGGTGTCTGAATAAATTTCGGTTTGACTGTATCATCACCATTATTTAATCACCATGACACATTGCAACAGTATTTTTTTAAGTGGAATGATTGTGTCTTTCACTTATTTAATTATAGAATTTTAATATTGAAAGGGTTCAACCGTCTTCAATGGCTGTTTAGACAGACATAGAGAGAGATGATGGATAGATAGATAGATAGATAGATAGATAGATAGATAGATAGATAGATAGATAGATAGATAGATAGATAGATAGATAGATAGATAGATAGATAGATAGATAGATAGATAGATAGATAGATAGATAGATTAAAGTACAACAAATGAAACCAATCTTCATAAGAAAGTGCGTAATTCAGCTGGAAAAAAAAAGCCTGGTCCGGTGTCATAGCAACGGCTTCAAACGTCACGGGGAGGTGCAGGGGCCTGCATCTGTATCCTAGAAATAAAACAAGCATGTAGAGCGGCGATTACAATGAAACGGTGTCTAAAAATGGGCTGGCGTTAATCAGGTACAACGGGCCAGAAAAAAATTTAACACCTTTTTAATTCGCTGGTTATTCAAGTTTCACCGTGTCACACTTTTTTTGAAGTGTAAAATATTTTCTAGGACGCTACTGCTGTTTTTGTTCATTAGGCAGAATCAGTAGTCGTAGACTGGTGTGCAAGTAAATGAATCCTAATTCGTTTTAACAATGAGTATTTTGATTCAATTGAGAATTTGATTCAATCAGGTTGACATGTTAGCTCCCTTTTACTGTCTATGGTTAGCTCCCAACCTGGAGCCAACGATGCTTCGGCGGTGTCTGTTAGTACTTTTCTCAGCGCTTGTCAGAATTGACCAATCACAGATGCTGGTGCACATTCGATTAAGTATATAAAAATTAATTGTATAGACATTGATACTACCAATATCCGTGTCCATTTCCGATACAAATCAATTCAATCAAAAAAATTTTTTTTAAAGATGATAAACTTTGGAGCAAACATGATTCCAGTGAAGCACAAACTGTCGTAAAATCTGAATGCGTCTCAATGGTGAATTGGCTTTCTGGGCCTCCCAGCGCCCCCTAGCGGAATGACATCGTTTCGTCTCGCATTAACAGCAAGAGTGCAGTATTGTCAGCTCAATCTGTAACAGGGGAGGGCACGGGGTAGCATTATTTACTCCAAGCACAGTGTATGGCATCAAAGAACTACATAGGGACCATCCGTGACATCGTAACGCATACTCATTTTACTGTGATACGGACACGGGAGATACTGACAAGGGATGAATTCTCTTCCACCGTGTGGATGCGCCCTAACCGTGTCCAATGGATCTCCCCGGCATCAGCAACACGACCGTGGACAACATGTCAGGTTCGGGCTTCATTTTAGAGATTGTGAGCATCAAACCCGTTGTAAACAGCAACTATACAGCCGGGGGCGAGATGAACCGCAACCCCCCAGTGTGGAGTTCGGAGGGGAACTCGGTTCTCCAGGGCATCGCGGTGGCCGCGCAGGCGCTGCTCCTCCTGGCCATCTTCTTACTGTCCAGTCTGGGTAATTCAGCGGTCGTGGTGGTTATAATCAAACACAGGCAGTTGAGAACGGTCACTAACGCTTTCATCACGTCCCTCTCCCTCTCTGATTTTCTCACGGCCGTTCTTTGTTTACCCTTCTCCTTCTTGATGCTCTTCAGCAAGGATGGCAGTTGGATGTTTGGGGAGCCCTTCTGCATCGCCAACGGGTTCTTTAACGCCTGTTTCGGCATTATCTCCACCTTGACCATGACTCTCATCTCATTCGACAGGTATTACGCTATCGTCAGGCAGCCGCAAGCCAAAATCGGCCGGAGGAGAGCGATCCAGCTCCTGGTGGCCGTTTGGTTCTCCGCTGTACTCTTCTCGTTTCCTTGGTACCTGCTTATGGAGACCTCCGGGCGCCTGGTGGTGCACAAACAGGGCTTTTACCATTGCATGTATGTGTTCCACTCGGGCACCTCTAGGATGGGCACCACCTACAGTATCGCTTTAATAGTAGTGTGTTACTTGCTTCCCTTTGCCCTCATGTGCTTCTGCCACTATAACATCTGTAAAACCGTCCGGCTGTCGGAGATCAGGGTACGGCCGGTGACCACTTACGCGCACCTGTTGCGCTTCTACAGCGAGATGCGCACCGCCACCACCGTGCTCATCATGATCGTGTTCAGCATCTTCTGCTGGGGCCCTTACTGTCTGATGGGCATCATCACCGCGCTTGGGAGATACTCTTTTAACCCCGCTATGGATACTTTGGCCATTTGGATGGCGTGGGCTAACGGTGCCATCAACCCGTTGATTTATGCCATAAGGAACCCGAATATATCCATGCTGTTGGGCCGGAGCAGAGAGGAGGGATACAGGACTAGAAACATCGCTGCGTACCTGTCCACGCAGACGCAGCGCAGGGACACGGTCCGGACTCGGGCCGACCGGATTCGGGACCGGTACGTGAGCCGGCACGGGGCAAACAGCCGCCTGTCTTCCTCCAGCCCGGCCAATGGGGGAGATGTGGCCATGTGGGCCTGTAAAAACCCGGCGGTGTTCTTCTGCAGAGATGCGCATCCGGATACAATCACTGAACCCGCGGTGGCCAAAGTTGAGACTGCTGACACCAGTTTGTAATGCGCTCACACTTTATGATGACTTTGTAATTTTATATAAATAAAGTAACTTTGTCACTTTAACGAAGGGAGGTGCTACAGGTGGGCCCAAACATTTACTTGGGTCACACTTAAAAATCTAAAAAAATAAATTTATTGCATTGGATAACAAAATCAAGTCTGGTGGAATTTATTTTAACCAAACATAGCACAAACAAAGAGAAGTTTGTTAGGTTTTAGATTTTAACAAACAAGTTTGGATTTGGACAGATTCCACTTGGTTTGATTTGATTTATTAATGCAATGACATTACCTACATTTTTAAGCTGTAAGATTAAAATTAAGATTTTAAGCTTTTGGAAGGATTCAAGTTCAACAGATACATTTTTGCAATACCTTTACTTTAACTAGTGGAAACATGCAACATAATAGCCAACTTATTTTTTTGTATGATTGCATATCACATTCACATATCACATTGTTTGCATACCAGAGGCCTTTTCTTGATATTTTGCTCATACAGTAAACATAATATGATAGATAGATAGCTAGAAACCCTTATCAGATGGTCTCCTTAAATAATATTTATGCTGGTAATAGTCAGTGTCTTTCTTTCCCATAGGTCATTTATCTTAAAAGAGCTTAAAAACATGTTTATTACATGAAAAGTGTATTACTAAATATTTAGTTAAACAATTAAGATTTTGACAAAATGAGCTGACAATCACCAATCAAATCACTTTAAATACAAATTTAATTTGTGATATTTTCTGTAGGGCGTATATCATTTTGCAATTGGCTATGCAAATGTGTACTTACTAAGTTTAATTTGCAGATTTTATTTATTAGGGATAAAGTCACGACGCAAAAAAAATGTGTGTTCTTATGTATTTTATTACAACTACATTTCATTTTGCTGCAAGGAAAAATTCACCTGTAGCCTACCTCCCTTCAGATTTCAGAAAATCATGTGCATTCAAATAAATGGAAGTTTAATGGCAGTTCCAACTATTTGAATGTACATTAACTAACATTATTGCATTATATAATGTTTAAAAGAGTATTATTTCGCCTGTTTTTCTTTAAAGCTGAAGAATGTCATTTCTACGTCACTAGCGCCACCTAGTGGAAATGTAAAAGTAGAGCTTAGCAAAGAAACAGATAATCCCGCCCCCAACTCACGCCATTGGTCGAGTCAGTGGCTGCGTTCGAAATCGCATACTCTCTTGAGTAGGTACTTTTTAAAAATTATTTCACAACCACTAAAAAGTATGATCTATCTATATAGTATGAATGTGTGTAGTGTGAATGCAATCTGGACACACTACATTCACCATGTTGTCATTATCATGTGACCTACCAGCGTCAGTTACGTCACTTCACTGCTATTCATAAATCCTCTCCCGTGGCCTCATGGGATAGTAAAGTGTCCATCGTATGCACACTTCAGAATCTCACCGGAAGTTGTAGGTCAACCAAGTGTTTTTTGCATATGTCATTCTGTTATGACATAGGCCTACTTCTTTTGTCACATACGTTTTTTTGCTACTATATAGTAGGAAAGTATGCAGTTTCAGATGCAGCCACTGTATAGACTGGGTCGCTCAAAACAAACAGGACAATTTTCATATTGACACAGTGGTATAAAGTTACATTCTTCAGCTTTAAATATAAATAGGAAAAATAAGTTTCATGACTATTTCAATGTACATGAATTTAAGATCTGTTATGCATTATATACTCTAATAATGTTTATGATTTACTTATAAGTCATTATAAAGTGTCGCTGTGTTTTTGAACACTTTTGCTACCACCAACCTATATTTGAAACCAAACTCTCCAAGTATAACTGAATAATTGTAGTGAATCAGCAGATATAATGTGTAGACTAGTGTATGTGTGTGTGTGAAGTGCCCAGATAAAAGTCCCTCTTGAGCCTAATGCAAATGCTTTACAACACTGTGAAAGAACCGAATGCCGAATGGTTACAGAAATCTCTCATAGCCTAAAACCACATCTTCATCATCTGCTCTGGGGTGTTAATGCTGACCTGGAATATTAAAGGGGCTATATGTAGAATTCAGAAACCCTTGTTATTAGCGACACCGGTGGCCATTAAGTGAACTGCAGCCAGAATCTTACTGCGCATCCTCGCTCTCGTGCACACGTATCGTGCAAGAGACATGAAGCCCCGATATACTCAAAGCAAAGTTCTTTTTCTATGAGTAAAAAAATCCTACTGGGTTTTTGTCGAGGGAACCAGCTAATGGCCATTTGGTCCGCAATGTGACGTCATACCTGAACGAACACTTGAAACGTCACATTCTTTTGATTTGCCGGCAAAAACTAGGAATTCTAGTAAGTAGGAGAAGGTCTCGTTTTTTACATTTCGTGATAAGCTGTTCACACATTGGCAACAAAAAAGCGATTAACACATGAAAATTCTTACATAGCCCCTTTAACAGCCAAACTTAAAAGAGTTGAGAGTTTTGCAACTAACTAACCGATCAGTCATATTGACAAGGTCTTTAAGAAATAGGGCTATAACATTTTCATTTCATCATTGTGAAATGTATTTCTTTGCTTGTTTATACACACCTTTTACACATACATTTCCAAAACATGCTGTGGCATCCAGAACCATGACTGTACCTTATATAATGTAGTAAAAAGATCTCCAAATCACACTGCATTTATAGACAAATCAAATCAAATTTGATGGGATGTAATTTCCTTTTAATAATCTGTAACAAACAAAAGCATATTATATTATATTACTGTCAAAAATTCTGCATTTTTTGACAGAAAAAGTAGATTAAATCTTCTTGAAGTATTCCATTTTGAAAGATCAACATCAAACCTGTATAAACAACAAACTGCCTTAAATGTTGAATGTAGCATGGTTTACAGAACACAGAATGCATTAATATCCGTTTTGAAATATTTGAAACAATTTCCATTGTTTCAGTCTGCCACATTGGAGCATGAGTTTATCAAATTATGAATTTTATAAATGTATATGACTGTAGCATCAGACTGCCATTTATTGGTTTGATGTGAGGGGTTAAACCAGCATTCATGTTTCTATATATCAGAGCTTCTAAATCTTTTTTATTTGATGGAAATCGGACTTTTTCTTCAAACATTTATCAGGATTTATGTCAATGTAAGACCCGTTTTAGAGATGTATATTGTGTTATGAATCCAATCTTACAAAAGCACTGCGGGGTCTTTTAAACCTTCCTTGAAATGGATGTATTTTTGAGATGGTATTAGCAGTCATAAATGATCATATTAAATTATATTATTGTTTTTTTTTACCATTTAAACAATGGTACCTTACCTTGTTGTTTTCAATAACAACGAAGAGATGCATTCTCATTTTTAAGTACTCAAATTATTAATTGTTTAAATATCAAAGACACTTTAGCTATTAAACGTTGCCATATATCTGCCTGAAATAAAGTTTGAATTTGTTATATCCATTTTTTAAGTAATGACTGTGTTTGATTACTCTTCACAGATCACTCTTTGACACTTATTTAATTCATTTTCAGTTAAATCTTGTTGCAGTTCAAGAATGAATTCACATTGCAAATCAGCAGTCATACACCAATGGAATGACCCTCAGGGTTTTGTTTATTGATTACATATCTTACATCCAAATGGATTCTATAAATAAGGAAAATGAAACAATCCCGCCAACAAAGGAAACTATTACAAAGTATTACAAAGAACTATTACTGAAAAAGATTTAATGGCATCTGATCAACAGGAAAAATTATTAGCACAAAATTGTGTCAAGGACTAAGAAAAAGCCTCGGTCTGCAAAGAGTTAACAATGGGTATATGTACATATATACAACCTTAAACACAAACAGAAATTACAAGAATATACATGCACGGCAGACAGTTTGGTTTGCTTAAGATGCAAGTTTTGCATCCACAGCTCTTTTAAATGAATGTTCTTTTTGGTAACCGCAAAAAAAAAAAAAAAAAAAAAAAAAAAAAAAGTATATTGTGCATGTCGTTTTGTCTCTCTACAATATATTTGCAATCAAAGTTTGACCTCAGCATATTTCCACTATAATTACTGTCAGTACATGTAATACATGGCATCGGTAGATTATAATAAACACTTTAATTTCAATGAAATTTTATACAAGAGGTTGTTTTCTCTAAAGTTGTGCATTGTGCTTTAACAGGTCTGGAATGGACAGTTTTTAGTTTTTTTTTTACCAGACAATCACTTGTGCTTGAGTTACAAGTGTAACAAAATGAAAATACTTATTACAAACAGGCCAATCACATCATACAAGTATCACTGGTTTTGTTTTATCATTCAAATAGGCAAAAATCACTTTTGCTTCAGAAAACACTGACTTTTAGTGTTTACCACACCACGTATTGCAAAACAAGGCCTGTTTTTTGATAGTCCAGGTTGAACACTACCAAAAAATTCAACAAAAACACATGCAGTATCTGAGCTGACAGAAATAAACAGGGTTTCTGGTTGTCAGGGAACCAAAACTATGAAAATGGGTGTACATGTAGCCCTTTCTGTTGGTTCTTTCCCTGGGGAGAACTATGGTGTCCTTGCGGCACAACTCCAGTCATCTTCAACACAAACACTGTCAACTGATTTACATGTTTAGAAAAGCCTCTATAAATCTTCCAGAAGTATTTTGGCAGTCAGCACGAATGGGGCCTGGATAATAAACAGTGGTAGAGCATTGTGCACACGGGTGTAATGTCTCAGCTCTACCAGCAGGAGGCAGCGCTCCTCAGAAGTTGAGTTTGGTGATGGGCCTCTCTCTGCTGCTCTCTGCACTCTGTTTGACGGGACGTTTACGGTTGTGCTTCATCTTCGATAGATCTTTGTCGAACACCTCCCCGGATCGGAGGGCAGACACCAGGTCGTCGAATTCTCCATCCTCCTCGCAGTTCTCTTTGGCCTTTCTAGATTTTCTTTCCTTCTCACGCTGTTCCTTGAGCTGTTCACAGACATATTTCCATTAATCACGACTGCAAGTTTTCCTTTTGTCTTAATGTGTTTAGCTTGCTTAATGGAATACATACTACATACTACACAGGGTATACTGTAGGCAGCATACTATTTTTTAGTTAATTAGGGACATATTCTTCATAACCCCTTTCCCTCTGTCTGTCACATGTCTTTATTTTGATTAATTCTCAGTTTGGTGAATGATGAGGATTTTTACTAGGAAAAAAATGTGCAGCTGCATTTTGTCTAGTAATTTCTAAAATATTTTAGGATTTACATTACATATGACATGTTTGATAAAAAAAAAAAGCTCTTGAGATGCATTTTATTTTTGGAGATAAACTCTATTCCGAACCTGACACAATGACATGCGTTTGAGACGGACACATTACCTGCGCCTCCATGCGGGCTCTGCGCTCCTCTTCCTCCTTGCGTCGTTGCGTGTTCTCATTGTCCTGTTTAGCTTCACTGAAGGCCTGTAGGAACTGATCGAAGATGCCAAAGAACTCATCGGGCTGCATGCGTGTGACGTCCTCCCCAAAGTGCTTCACGGCCTTCTCAAACTGTGTAGAATGAAAGACAAGGACATTTAGGAGGGTGATTCTTCATGTCATATGATCGTAATTTTATGCGGGATTCTTTGGCACTTCAACTTAGCGAGTAATAAAAAACTGACGTAATAAATCGATCTGGTCCAGGCCGCTAGAATGAACTAGTGATCTCCTTCCCATATACACTACTGTTTAAAAGTTTGGGGTCGGTAAGATTTTTTATATTTTTGAAGTCTTTTATGTTCATGTTGTATTTATTGGATCAAAAATGCGCTAAAAACTGTAATATTGTGAAATATCATTACAATTGAAAATAACGTTTTGCTTCGAATATGTATTTTTTATATGATTTCTGAAGGATCATGTGACACTAAAGTGCTAATAATGCTGAAAAAACAGCTTTGTATCACAGAAATAAATTGCATTTTAAAGTATATTAAAATAGAAAACTATTATTTTAAATTGTAATAATATTGTACAATATTACTGTTTTTTCTGTATTTTTGATCAAATAAATGCAGGCTTGATGAGCCTTCTTTCAAAAACATACACATGTTTAAAAGTTTGGGGTCGATAAGGTTTTTTTATGTTTTTGAACGAACTATGTCTCTTTATGTTCATGTTGCATTTATTTGATTAAAAACAGTAATATTGTGAAATATTATTACATTTAGAATATGTATTTTCTATTTTAATGTATTTTAAAATGTTATTTATTCCTGTGATGGCAAAGCTGAGTTTTCAGCATCATTACTCCAGTCTTTAGAGTCACATGATCCTTCAGAAATCATTCTGATATGATGCTCAAGAATCATTTATTATTATAAATGTTGAAAACAGCTGTGCTGCTTTAAATTATATTTTTGTGGGAACTGTGAGAAAATGTAATTCTTTGATGATAGAAAGAAATAAAAGTCTTTATATAGTGTCTTTACTGTCATTTTTGATCAATTTAATGCATCCTTGTTGAATAAAAGTATTACTTTTCTTTAAAAAAAAAAAACTTTTGAACAGTAGTGTATGAATGTTATGACATAGATATGGCGGAAGTAGATCCTCAACTTCTCACTAAGATCAAACCTTCATGTGTCCCTGAACCAATCTGCCTTTGAAACTGATCTTCAGCCTAAAGCAGTTAAAGATTACGGCCCATGTTTCCAGCGGTTCCAATGTCCACACAGACGGTCAGAAGCCCGATAAACTCCAACGAAAACAGTGATTTAACTTCTACAAGTCTGAGTTCTAAGTTATGTGTGCCTGAAATATCTGTCATTTCAGACGTTTAACGGCGACTTCAAAGCGGAGCGACTTTATGTGAGCTTTCACGTTTAAGCGGCCAGATAGAGTGACAGGCCTTGCTATGTTCAAACCTCATAAACCTTTAACATCTAATAGATAGACTATTATCTCCTTAGGTTCAGTGAACTGTGGTGTGCTTTCGATCTTACCAATTCCTTGGCATCCTGAAGAGAGTCTTCCACTTCAGAGAAACTGAAACCAGCAACAGTGATGAACTGGCTCACAACAGACACAAACTTGTCGCCGTGGATCTGAGGCTGACCCCTCTGGTACTCCAGCTCCTGTTGAGAAAGAGAGAGAGACTGCTATCAAGATGAAGGAATGGACACAAGTAAGGCCATGACTTAAAGAATATTAAAAGTGCATTCAATTTAGAGCAAATACCCAGCCATTAGTGATCACTCAAAACACCGTAGCAATCCAGCAAGGCCTTCAAACCTCGAAAGTTCTAGTTTCAAGTGTTTAAACCATAAATAATGTTTTATCCAATTATATCGCACGGCTGTGTATAAATAGAGACATTTGCTACACTGGATGACCTCATAAGCTCTAGAGCTTGTAATTGTAGACAAAACGAGAGAATGTCGCTCACCGTCTCCACGCTTTTCAAGCCAGTGCGCATATTGTTAATGTCTTTCTCCAGTTCAGTCATGCTGGGAAAAAAGGAAGAAAAATAAGTTGGAGAGGGAGATAATGAGAGATAATGTTTCACTGGACAATTTGCAGACCCTTTAATCTTATTTCGAATGGCTGAGGAATGAATCACATCAAACATTATCTTCACACAGTGACTATGGTTTTGCCAAATAGGAAATGTTCCTGGATCAACAACTTTTGTTGGTCCTGGAACAACATTCCAGTCTAACAAAGTGCTAACCCTATCCCGAACTATAATCTACCCCAAAATCAGAGTGAAATGATAGGCTGATACTGTTCATGCCTTATCCCTAACATCTGATTGGTTGTTAAAGCAATATTTGAGGTTTAATACACACTACTATTCAGAACAAACTTGCTCCTGGTTTCTCATATATATTACACAACACATTTAAAAAGTCGTTTCAAGGGTTGGTAGGATTTTTTTTATGTTTTCAAAGAAGTCTTTTGTGTTTAGCAAGGCCACATTTATTTGAACAAAAATACAGTAAAAACAGTAATATTGTGAAATATTAAAATACTGTTATAATTTTAAAAAACAAACTAATTATAACATATTTTAAAATGGAATGTATTCCTGTGATGGCAAAGCTACATTTTCTGCATCATCCAGTCTTCAGATCACATGATCCTTCAAAAATTCTGATATGCTGATTTGCTGCTCAAGAAATATTTATTTTTATTATTATCAATGTTGAAATCAATTGTGGTGTTTTTTCATGATTTTCATGATGAATAAAAAGTTCAAAAGAACAGCATTTCTTTGAAATAGAAATATTTTGTAACATTATACATGTCTTAACTGTCACTTTTTGATCAATTTAATGCATCCTGGCTGAAGGAATTTCCAGTGAAAAAACTAATATTCAAAAATTAAAATATCTTACTGACCCCAAACAGTTAAAAGCATTTGTGGCATAATGTTGATTACCTTAAAAAATAATTTCAACCCGTCCCTCATTTTCTTTAAAATAAATTAAATCGCAATTATTTTTTAAAGAATTTGAAAGCACTTACATTAATTCTTCTTTTAAAAAACATATTATTTGAGCTTTGAAGCTGCTTAAATCATTTTAGGGGTTATGGCATTGCATTGTCACAGTAATAAATTTGATATAACTTTTCACATAAAAGGTCAGTAATTACATTTTTCAAACTAAAATCGTGTTAATATGCATATTGATTATGACTTATTGCTGTACTATTGAGGCATTGAATCATTTAAAGATTGGACTCCATTCACTTCCATTTTAAGTGTCTCACTGTAAGCCATTGCTTTGTTTAATGAAAATAAAGGAAAGTGGAAAATATTTTTTGTGGTAATCGACGTTGTGCCACAAAGTGCTGTCGACTAAGCTTAACTTGTAATAAACCCGGAATATCTTTTTAAAATGTTGTCCCTGGGCTAACAATGGCATTGATCCTACTTAGCCAAATCCTAAGCGTCTTCCTACATTCCCATTTCATTACATACACTCTTTAAAACCACTTAAGTGGGTGCAATAGAGAGACTTGATTGTTTTAGTGCTTACTGGACTTTGGCCGCTTCTGGAACGTTGTGCAGATCCTCATGAATCAGGCTGACTTTAGGGTACTTCTGCTCAAGAATGGTTATCAGGTAGTGCAGAAGACTGATGTTTCTATTGAGAAACGCACACAGCTTGTGTAAGTGCATGGCTGGTTGGAGTTTAATATGCAGTACTCGCACAAACCGAAGCGCTGTCTTACTTGTCGATGCTGGACTTGGTGTCAGCGATCTTGTTGAGAGAGGACACTTTGAAGCCATAGGCATTGCCCCTCTGGCCTTTGTTCATGTAGTTCCCAAAGGCCAGCACCACCTCCAGAAGCTGTCGAAGATTCCTGCTCTGAAGAACCTCCTTAGATGCTTTACTGAGAGCTGTGGGAGGCAAATAGCATTTTTAACATTACACCTTACATAACCGAAAAGGCGTTTGTATGCTTTATTTCACACAAGTCTAGTATAGAACATAACCATAGAACACATATGATTGATAAAGGTATCAGAATTTACCTTCCACTTTCGGCTTGATTTCTGCTATTCGTTCTGTAAACTTCTTTTTGAAGTAAAGAGACTGCAGTCTTTGCTGGTAGTGGTTGATTCTGCAGTTTAAAAGGAGAATTGAAACAAAACAACATAAATATTTGATATCTCATTTATAATACCAGATTTTATGCTCTTAAAAAAATAAAGGCTTTAATGCTTGAAATTAGTTTTGGTGACAATTATAAATAGTCTACTTTTGAATGTAGACACAATTGTTTAAATCTAAATTCATCAAATATAAGTTTTGATTCATTGATTTAACATTGGCATTATTTCCCATTTTGTATTACTTATTTTAAAGAACACGTGTCCAACAGAAAACCTCTTGATCTAAAGGCTTCTGCTTATGTCAACATTAGTTAGTCTATGTTTGAATTTCTACTGCTAAACTGATCAAATAGAAGTTAGTTTTGATTTGTTTAACATTTGTGTGTAACATTTGTTTAAATGTGGAAAATAGTCAAGATAAAGAATAAATGCGTACAAACTTTTTGATTGGTAGTGTATATGACATATAAAAATAAATGCATTCTAGAATAGAATAATAGATCTTAAAAACTGCCTGTAAAAAAACATTTATTTACAAGAGGTGTACCCATAATGCATTGCTACAAAACGCCTGTAACATTAACAGCCGAATATTCTTCTGTGGTTTTTCATTGTTCTGTTGAAGTACGCCTGTTCGTGAGACACGGGTCCTGTTTCCCATATTAAAATAATAATAAAAAAAACTGTCCAATAAGTAACACCTGCAACTTGTTTATATTGTATTAATTGATGGAGCCGCCCATTCTTCAGGGCTTTTATATTTATGTCTTTGTTGGCTGACATTCCACAGAAATTAATGACATTAAGAACCGCACAATGAAGAGGTCAGAAAAATGACGACATGTTTCCAGACAATTTGAGGGAAACTGCATTTTGTAACTGAAGTCAAAGATTATTATAGCGAGAGACTAGACAGACCAAGATAAGAACGTCATCCTGTAAAAAGAGTTTATTTTCCACATACTGACCTCTACATCACCTGTAGCTGTTGTGCGGCAGCACCATTTAGGAAATATTGTGTTTTGACAGCTCTGTCCAGTCTGATGAACATCATTTATTATACCCTAAACTAAGTGACTTAAATTGACCGTAACCTGCTCATCTCATAGAGGAAGCGGTCTGCCTTCGCCATCCGCTCCAACTCATGTTTGTGTTCCTCCAGAAGGTCCACGTCACTTTTTTCTGGCACAAACTTCAACAGCTGCAGGGAAGGAGAGAGAGAATTATAATGACTAAATTGGGCCAACCAATCAGAGATCGTTTTGAAAGAGGAGTCTTAAAGATACAGTAGCAAAAAAGCCGGTTTATTCATGAAATAAACTGTAAAGATAAAGCATTAAAAGTTAGTATATTATAGTCTTTTTAAGTGCTTTAATGCAACGTGGCCCTATTAAACATATCCAATACATGAACATGCATTCCCGTCACACTACAATAACTGTTTGATTACTGTTCAAATTAAAACAACAGCAATCAGAGGACTTATAAAACCTGATTGCCATTATATTGCTTTTCAAGTCCATTTGGAAAATGTTACAACTATTTACTTGCTGCTCTTATTTGGTGATTTGCTTTAAAAGGTTAAACAGGGTGAGGTATACAAAGCTGCATTTTATTACCAAAATGGCTACATGGCTTGAACGGGTTTTAATTAAACTAGAAATGTGCTTGATTTGAGCCTCCACTTGCAGGATATACACAACAGATTGAATTCAGGCATGTGGAAAGGCTTCAGTATGGTTTTTACAACAAATTTCCCCATCATTCAGAATGACAAAAATGCAAGGACGATATGGAGTTTGTCAAAAAAAATTCTGCAAAACAATAATTACATGCTGGCTTGGACTGCGAAGGTTATGTAATTAAACTCGCCGCCTGTGCAGACGCTGTATCAGCTAATCACAGTTCTGAAATGTTTGACGTCAATCCACTGCAGTAAAACAGGTTTGTTTTGGCCAGTAGCCATGTGGAATTACGAGGTAAAGTGTGAGCTAATTGATGGAGTATGTGGCGATGCATCTCACCTGCTCCAACATATCCTTAGGTAGGTCTTCCTGCTCATCCATGGTCAGTATGGCTCTCTTGATCTCCTCGTTGGAGAGTTTTAACCTGCAAAGATTTAAGTAAATCACTGGTGTGGCCTTCTTGATTGAAGTAATATCAGAGTCATATTTCTATATCACAAAAAAAAAAATCTCTGAGGCCCCGTTTACCTGTATTAAAGGCCCCCTGAAATCAAAATGTTAGTTTTTTAGCTTTTAGTATGAATATGTTAGCCTTTAGTTTATGAATAAGCTGGTGTGTTCCAAAACAATGACAAAATGTACATTTAGGAGATATAAGTATTCAAAACTTAGTCTCTCACTTCCGCTAAAAAGGATCACGGATTTTTAATGACATCACCGCGGGCTTCAGCTTCTCATCACATCTTCTGTCCAATCAAATGCTCTCTAGAATCTAAAGCGTCCCGCCCCCCATGCTATAAATACCACCTGACCAAAGCAGCCGTTAACACGTCACGGAGCAATATGGGTGGAGATGTGTGTTTGGTTGCTCAAACGCTCGAGTTTTATTCCGTTTTCACTGTACGTTGGTTAATAATGATATGGCTAGAATTTATTCACATTTATGGTGATGTCAAGTACGACTTGCAGTCTGTGAGGTAAACTAAACGCTATTGGCTATTTGAAAAGGGGGAGGAGCCATTCAATATGATCCCGTCTTAGCTTCCTGTTTCAGTGGAAATTGCGTCAACGCATCATACAAAGCTGTGCGTTCCAAGGCACTTCAGTGGGCCTTTAATTATGCTTTTTGGTCGATCGGATCGCAAGTGGACAACGCTAAATACAGGTGTAAACGGGGTCTAAAATGTTTCGAGCTAGTCCACTTTTGACCACTTCCAGAGGTAGTCGAAACCGCGTTCAACCAGATTGCTTTCGTATTGTAGATGCTCATTGCTCAAGTGGTCGAACAGCCACAAAAGACCGCCTACTCTCCATGGGATTTAAACTTTGTCGGCTTGAGACCCAAGTTTGGTTTGAAGATGAAAAACGTACCAAACACAATGTTCTCTCACCATTCCTGATTTCCTGATTCCGTGTGTTTTTTCGTCATCTCCGGGCGTATTCATATGTAAATTGCGCAAGCTTATTTTGTCCATTAGATCGAAAGATCTGAAAAAACCCATGCATTTACCCACCAATAAACCCTCCCCTAGAAGGAATCAGGACAGAAGTGGTTGAAAGTGGACAAAAGAGACTGGAATGCGTCTCCCTCATCTACTTGTGATCCGATCGACCAAAACGCATCTTAATACCAGGTGTAAACAGGACCTCAATAAAAAAAATTGATGCAGTAAATGTTTAAAATAGCTGAATTCCAGGCTTCGTTCACAGCTATATAATTAAATCAAACACATGAAGTGAGCTTATGGGAGATATGTTTATCCCCACTGCTATGGTGACTTGTGATGCTAGGATCATCCAAAATGGCTTAAGTAAACAGAGAATTGTTCGATAGTGAGTCATGCAGGAATGTTTATTACTGTGAACGAATCTTAAATGGTCAAAGATGGTGTCTACCGGTCTCTAAACTACAGACTCACTTGGTGAGAAGGATGTTGCAGTTTTGTGCACGCCGACCATCGATGACAGACAATTCTCTGACCTTTTTAGAAGTGACCACGTCATCCTCTGTCTCTTTCTGCAGAAAGACAAATGGAGTTAAGGTCATCATCAATATCAAATTAAAATGAAGGGGGAAAAAAACTATGAGAGAGTTGATTTCACACTTGAGGTTTTGGTGCAAATCAGTGTTTGATTGTCCTCTAAGTTGGTGTACTTATGTATGGGGTGATATTTAGAAACTAAATCATTTTGCAGTGTGGTTCTGAACATCATAACATAGTTTAAAAGCAAAAACACAGTCATTAGAAACAATCAAATGCAGATTTGGACTTGGCAAATACACCGAATGTGAAACCGACAAGACACCTGTTGTCTTAAATTGTCTCTAAAGTCAAATCCAAACAAAGTCATTTTTCAAGCTAATGACATATCCATGACCGAACACACCAGACATCCACAACAACAGAGGCTGAAAACAGTCATCTCCTCCACTTTAGTGTCAGCTGGGGAGCAGACAGCTAGAAATTGCGTGTTTAGATGATGGCACGCCGGGTTATATTTGAGGGAGGGAGAGAGTGAAAGGAGTGGAAGGGAATCTGTCCAAAAACAAGGGGGGGATATTTGTTTTTTAGTTGGTGGAAATCTGTCTCCTTCACTGTTGCATAAACTCCAGATGCATGCAAAACCAACTGCATGCCTCATATCCAACTTGGCTAATTACGAACAGAGACATCTTGAAATGCTCACTAATAAACTGAAGTAGGTCATTTGGTTCATCGCGTTTTTAAGCAATGCAACAAAAGACAATAATTTGATGATTATCTGCATAAAGAATGCAGTGAAAATTACATAAAAAGTACTATGGTGGTACCGTGGTACTGTGATAGTATCAGACGGTACTTTGATATACACTAATGTACTTATTAATTACTATTTTTATACAGTATATAGAAAATGTCATATTTAATTCCAAAATCAAAATAAGCCATTTATAAAATAGATTTTATGTTGTTCTTACAAAATAAAATTCATTTTAGAACGATTAAGATTAATAAATGTTTTTAAATTAATGCTTTTTACGTTTACATTTTACACAAAACATTTGAATGCAAAAACTCTCTAATTTTTCATTTTATTAACATAATTTTCTCATTATTTCATATATTATTTAAATTTTAAGGTGTAGACCTTAGTCAGGGTAGCGCCATATTTAATTTTTGACAGAAATGAAAACGAGGCTGTGAGTAATAGAATATTCAATGGTCAATTTCAATGGACTGCACTTTTGTTTAACAACATTGTTCAGCTGACGAAACGTCTTTCTGAAAATAAATTTCAGTAGACAAAAACTCCATTAAACAGTTTTGAAAGTTGCGAAAATCACTTGATCTAAAACTTTTATACAGTAAAGACTGTACTGAAAACCTGACTAAGATCTATTTTATACATCATTGTATTATTTGTTGTACTGTTATATGCGTATTTTAATTTTTTTAATCATTTCTTTTTTTTTAATTGTAATACAGTAAGTAGTACTGTATAAGAATGGTAAACTGCAAAATGTGCTTAATTGCTCTGAAAATAATGTCACAATGCAACAAAACATTATCTTTATGCCAAATATAATTACTTTTCTGTTGATTTCGGGGGTGGAATTATAACCAGGACATTTATTTGTGAGATTTAACAATTCATATGGTACTCCAGAGAGTACCATCAAACTATTACATGTCCAAAAAAAATATAATTGTCAGTACCATGGTATTATCACCAAACTAAAGAGACAAGAGCAGAGACCACACTTACCTGTCTAAAGTTATTGAACAGAAAGTCCTTTATGGCAAGCAGGGAGCAGGAAAGTGTTAGTTAGATCAGAAAATATATAAAAGGGCAGGTGTAAACATCAAGCAGAAAAATAGAGAATACAGAGGGAGGTACAGAAATTCAGGTTTTTAATTTTAGTTTGACACTGCAGTATTATTCATAGAATGCATTTGGAACAATGTGCACGATATTTACAATACAGGAGCAGACGGGTACAAATTCTCAAAGAATTCTTATACCTGCTGTCTCTGGTAAGCGGAGAATGTTTTTTCAATATCCTCCAAGTCCAATTGTTTGTAAACTCTGATTTCATCCAATTCCAGCCACAATGTCCCTTCCAGTTTATTCTTTGAAACAGAGATGAATAATGAATAAACTATGAATACACATTAAAGGACTTAGTTAAACAATAAATAAATTGAATTATAATTTTTTTTTTTTTAAAGAGGAACATTTCTAAAGACTAACAGTTATATAATTGCAAATGTTTATTAACTCACTTCACCGAGTTTGGTCCAGTTGAAAGACTTAAGCGGATTGGAAGGCTGAGGGATGTTCTTCTTCGTCAGCGTGGAGCCCAGAAGACCTCCCAGGGGAGGAGGACCAAAGCCGGGCAGGCCTGGTGGAGGTGGCGGCCCGCCAGGAGGAGGGGGAGGGGGTGGGGGTGCTCCACCTGGAGGTGGTGGTGGAGGAGGAATGCCAGCTAGACCTGGTGGTGGAGGTGGGATGCTACCAGGGGCCAACGTGACGAGAGGGGGGCCACCTGGGATATTTGTCCTCTAAAAAAACAAGATACAGTAGGAACATGAAGCAAAGTGTTGTGAGGCTTTTAATCTGTTATAATTATGAATCAAAACATGTTGGACTGTTCCAAACCCCAGTGAGCTGTTGACACTGCATTTTTTAGGCAACGAAGGCTCCAGGCTGTTTCAGTTATGCTGGCTTATACACAAACAAACAAGCACCACTGGAACTGCCATGATTATTTTGGACATGGCATTACCATAGTATTCTCTGAAGTAACTTAGTTTATTTTGGAAATACCATAGTACATGAATATGGTAATCATTCAATAGCATTCTACAACTACAGTACTTTTAGTAAGAGGAACCTCATTCTGGGCAAAAGTGACAAACTCAGGGATTTTTTTTCTTCCAAGAAGAGAGCCAAGGGTTAGAATATTAGTATATTTGTATTTTATTTTCAAATATATACATCCATCCTAAGGTGGTTTGCTGGTCTTAGTTTGCTTAAGATGGTCAAGCTGGATTATCTGGTCTCTTTTGACACCAGATCAGTCTAACTCGCAGGCAAAACAGGCCAGCAAACCATCATACTTTTTTTTTATTATTATTTGGCAAGGAACTAAGAGCTTGTTCCAATTCAGTCACATATAAGGTTTCGTTTCAGTTAGGTTGTTGCCTTAAAATGTAGCTGCCAACAGAGAGAAAACTAGGTTTTGGAAGAGGTACTTTGTGCTTATGTGCGTATGTAACATACATTACTCATCTCATGTAGCCGGGCAGAAAGGTCAGCCACTTGCTGCTTAACAAGCTTATGTTCACTGCTTTCCTTCTCCAGCTTCTCTTTCATCTTATTGAGCGTTTGCATCATTTCATCCTTCTCTTGGGCTTTTGCATCACACTCTCTTTCTTTCTTTTCCAGCTTCTGCTGAAGTTCATTATGCTCTATGATTCAAGCCAAAAAAAAACAAAAAAAAAACTGAAATCAAAATGCACAAATGCTTCAGTATTTGACAACATCAGCAATGTCATCGCTGATTCCCAAGCTGACGAAGGTACATGTAAACACATTCAAGGCCTCCTGAGGCTAAACACTCACTTAGATCAATATTCGCCTCATAGAGAGGTCATGTACCTTTTCTCATTTTTTCCGCTTGTTCTTTCCATTGTTTCACCTCGTTCTCGTTGACCAACCTGTAAATTTGAACAAGAGAGCAGTGTTGGGCTTTTATGAATTGCTAAAGGGATAGTTCACACAAAATCCTCTCATTATTTACTCACCTTCATATCATTATAAACCCATATAATTTTGTTTCTACTACAGAACATAAAAGGAATGGAGAATGTCGTGTTCCACTCAAGAAAGAAAGTCATATAGTTTTGGAAAGACATGAGGGAGAGTAAACGATCACAATTTTCATTTTTGGGTGAACTATAGTTTTAAGTATCACCATGTGACCCTAAACCACAAAACTTGGCATTCATAATTCTTAAAAAAGCACAAAGATGGCTTCCTATTAGTCGGGTAGGACCAGCAGGAAACCAAGGAACATCGGTGCGAAATGTTAAGAAATCAGAGAAGCCCCTGTCGCCTAAAAACGAGAGTCAAATTTCAGCTCTGTAACATTTGATCAAACCACCAAATGTTTTCCATATGCATTCTGCATATTTGTTTTTATTTGACTGAAACTGTCCCAGACCGTCTCTCAGCCTTCGACTTGTTTGAACTAAAGTGAAGTTGTGTCTCACTTTTAATTAATCCCATGCAGAAAGATGACACAAAGATGTGTACCAACTTTTCAGTCTGTACACACAGTTCTAAGATTATCATGTTCAGTCATATCTTGAAAAATCTATGGCCTGGCGCTTTCCTAAAATGTGATGAGATACATGTGGATGGCTGGCTTGCAACAAATTGACTTTGAGACTAGATTACGTATTTGGGATTATAATTTTCAGAGCTAAATAATTGAAATGGCAAAATTTACCAAATTGCAGGCAGTTTTAGAGGGCATTAAAAGCTCAGGATATTAATAAATGAGAGGAATTGGGGACACAAAGGTACAGATTCAGATTCTTTGGATACACAAATTCTTGGACTGTCCCTCACTTACATTCGCACCACGTTCTTCACGTCGAAGTTCTCAAGGGGAGCCACATCGGGGTCATGACCCTTGTCGTTCTGTAGGACAATCTGCTGGACAATTCGATCGAGAAGGAGCCAGTACTGCACAGTGTTCCCAGTTCTTTTGTCTGTGAGCAAAGAGCAAAGATCATGTCAACACTTCCAAGCAAACTACACAACCTTCACTACAGTGATCAACTAATATGTTTTTAAGGGCTGATGCCGATATGCAGAAAGCAAAGTGGTCAGTGGCCAATACAATGCAAATATAAACACTACTGTTCAAAAGTGTGGGGTCTGTTAGAGTTTTTCATGGCTTTGAAAGTCTCGTATGCTCACCCAGGCTGCATTTATTTGATCAAAAATACAGTGAAAACCGTAATATTGTGAAATATTATTACAGTATAAAATAACTGTTTTCTATTTTAACATTATGTCAAAATGAAATTTTTTCCTGCGATGGCAAAGCTGAATTTTCTACATCATTACTCCAGTTGCATGATCGTCCAGAAATCATTCTAATATGCTGATTTTCTTCTCAAGAAACGTTTCTTTTTATTATCAATATTGAAAACAGTTTGTACATGTGGTACATCTCTGAAGAACAGCATTTACTTGAAATAGAAATCTTTGGTGTAAATGTTTTACTGTCACCTATGATCAATTTAATGTATCCTGGCTGAATAATTTAATTAATTTCTTTAAAAATATATATTTTTTTTAATTTAATTTTATTATTATTCTTTTTTTTTTACTGACCCCAAACTTTTAGAAGGGCGTGTACATAATGAAAAAACATAAAACATGGTATTACCGTAGTGGCATGTCCAAAACTATATACCATGGAATTATTTTGTAAGTGGCATTATTTATGGTGAGGTAATATTATGAGGTTTATTTGTTCACACTGCTATGGAAGGGAAGTGACAACACTCACAAGGCATATGAAGACAGTGCTGTAAGACAGACATAAAGTGCGGGAAGGCATCCGTGTGGTTTATCCTCTTCCGGATGAGATCAAACACCTGAGTGGCACTTTTAGTGTCTATATGAACCTAAACCAAACAAAGAGACAATCTTGAAATTACTACTGAAACAAAGTGGCTATATTCAAAAACAAATTAAGACAGCGAGCGTACATTTTCAAACCGCTTAGCGAGGGCTAATTCATCTTCATTTCGTAGCATCTCAAAGAAGTCCAAATGCCTGAAGAGTAATAAAAGACGACTGCATGTTAAGCTCAACAGAACTCGGCCAAGTACTTGAGGACAGAGCGTCTCAAAATACAGCACTTACCGATCTAACGTGGAGTTTTCATGGGACCGTAATTTATCAATCACTGGTTGGATTCCCAGCATTAGAAATTCATACCGCAAATGAATTCTGAACTCCAAACTGGTCTGTAAATGAAACGTTGGAAGTCAGGGAGAAACTCTTGGATGATTTGAATCTAATGAGATGCAGATGTGGAGAAAGTAGCGCTTACCTCCCCTGCTCCTTTACTGAGGACCGCGTTGATGAAGGACATGATTGCCGTCTTGAGGTTCACCTCGTCTCTGTAGCGGCCCGTACTCTTGTCCAAGTCATTTAGAAGGGTCTATGTGTAAACCGAGAAGATGGGGAGAAAGAATGAGAACAACAAAGGAGAAAGACCTCTTAATATTTCATTCATGAGTCTCAACAGTCATGAAACACAAGCTAAACGAATTTCTCTGTGTTAATTGTTGCATTCGATTCAAAGGGACAATTTATGTACAACTGTTTTTTTATGAATGATTTGTGTTTGAATAATGAGGCCCAATGTGGCTATGAGAGAAAAGCCTTGACTTTTCCTGCTCACCTGAAATCGTGTGCGTTCACAGGCGAACTTCTGATAGTGCAACATGGCTTCCAGGATTTTCTTGTGTCCTCCGGGCACCAAGCAAACAGCACCCATGATCTCCAGAACGGCCACTTTGGTCTTGATGTTCTCGGTGGCCAAGCTCTGCGCGATGATGTTGATGCTTTCTGAATGTGCGAGCACATGGGCACGTCCCTGAGAGTTGTTCATCAGGGCTTTAATGCAGCCAATCAGTGAGGTGTGGATCTGAGATTCGGTGGTCTCGTAGTCCATCGTTTTCAGGAAGTTCAAGACGCACGTCAGTCCATCGAGGTCTATGAAGCGCGTCACAAACCTTGAGGAGCAAGACAAAAGTCAGGCCAAGCGCATGAAAAGACATTTCAACTCATAGGTAGGAGAACACATGGAGAACTTAATGTCCTGCATTTTAAGTGCATTTCCTGTTAATGGCCCTGTTTCTGGGGGACAGCAATACAACTTGCATTTAAATACACATGTTTATTTATAAAACTGGGCTGTTTTATTGGCGTCTTTTTGCGGATGAAACACTGAGCAATCACATGGGAGACATGATACGGATTTCTGTAACCTGGACTGTATCTTTCAACATATTTTCTGATGTTCATTCATGTTTATTTCGTTCTGTAACGTAGTAAAAAGGAAGAAATTATCGCCTTCACTCGCGCTCCACTTGAACTGAAGTGCTACAGTGATCTCTCGCACCACATTAAAGAGCGTCAAAACGGTATTTATTGTGTGAATTTTGTGATAAAATGGACAGAATTTGAAAGCTGAGACTTTGAGATTTGATACTCATATCACAAGTAACAAAGCACAAAGCTAATTGCGATTTATTGGGCATTCATGATGAAGCCTGAAAAGTGACCCACAGTTTCTGTTCAACTTTCTCTTCAAAAATAAATAAATGCATAATCTAGCCTATATGATTGTCCTGTAAGTTTGTGAATAAAAATGAAAATGTGAACAAAAACTATTAAATGGCTTATTATCATTAAAATATGAAAATTAAAATGAGGGGTAATAATAGATTATGACAGAATTTTTACGACCCTACCCGTCAAAATAACAATGCGGAAGTCGAACGTGACCTCTGATCGGCAGATATCATTCTGAATAATCGGTATCAGTGAAGAAATGTGTCAGTGCATCTATATATGTATATATATATATATATATATATATATATATATAGGGCCCCATGAAATCCATTTTATTTGGGGATCTGTATTTTATGATTTAATACAAATTTTTATATAAACTTGTTAAATGTAATTAAATGAAATTATAATAATTCATTTACACCAAATATTGCATTTTTATTTTTTGTCAAATAAGATGCTGCACAACAGAACTGTATAAATGTAAAACATGGATGAAAAAATATCTTGGTTGTATGATATTTCTTAGAAATAAAAACATTATTATTACTTTGAGAAGTACACTTTAGTATTCAGTAGTGATTTATTTCTGTTTGCTGTGAAGATCGTACTGTTTTAGTTTCAGTTTCAGTGTGTATTTGATGGTAGTTTTTCTCCAATGAAACAGTGAAAAGCTTGTGAAGTGACTCAAAGCAGTTCATCTGTTCATGTCCTAATATATTAAGACGGCAGATGCTGAAAACACAGTGGGTCTCATTCATGAAACATTCGTAAATATACGAGTAAATATGCGAGTGATTTGCGCGTAAAGAGACATTCCCGAAAACTCTTCTCCTGATTCACAAATACTTCGTAAACGTCAGATGTGATAGTGAAATGTGTGTGTGTGTTAATGAATTCCAATCAGTCATAAATGGGATGCGCGTGCACGTTCATTCTCAATTACCATAAATCCCGCCCATTAAATCCGACTGACAACTATATATGGGCATCATATTATGACATGAATGCGAATGAAAAAAAAAAAATTCTCAGATGCAGAAATTGAAGTTTTATTATCAGAAGTTCATTCAAAACGCCACATTTATTTTCAAGCGTACATAGTGGCGTATCGGGTCCTAAAAAAAAGGAAGCTTGGCAGCATATTACAGATGCAGTTAATGGAGTTTCATCTGTTAATCGAACATTCCCAGAAGTGAGAAGAAAATGGTTCGACATTAAGCTTGAGAGCAAAAAAACGAATTAGTTCACTTCGGAAAAATAGTATTCAAACTGGAGAAGGACCACCATCGCAGATGCTATTACTTGCTCTCATAATAAGAAAAAACGTATGTAATTACTATATATAATATTTTTTCAAAATGCTGTGCAAATATGTACCCGATTAAGGTGAATTAAAATGCAGCCTTATTAATGAGCAAAATGTTCGGGTGTTAAGCGCACTATTTACGCGTGGCTACCAACTAACATTTGGAAAATACGAACATTTTAATGAATCCGAAAAGTTACGCCAGAACCACTTTACACACGATTTACACAAAAATTCGTTCTGCTCGTGTTTCATGAATGAGACCCAGTGTGTGCGAGTTTGTGCATTAGATGAAACTGTGCCGTTCATTCACACAGAAATCACTGATTAGTGACATGCACTGACTGTTTATTTCCCCTGTGAGATAGGCTATTAGATTAATCCATATAGAGTAAAAATGTCCAGAGCTTATCAGTGGTATCAACGTAAATCTCGATATGATATCGTTTATCGTCCAGCCACTAATATATATAAATATATATATATATATATATACACATCGTATACATGAAGATTTCAGGAGTAGATATAATACTCTGCAAGACAAACTACTGTCGAAGAACTTAGTAAAGGGGGAGGGAGACTCAATTGTAAGGTAATGTGCTTAATCAAGAGAAATGAAAAAGAATGATACAGTCTTGAGATGACCCATAGTGAGTGTGTGCTAAAGGCAGTACCTCATGGGCTGTGTGCGGAGAGCTGTTTTCAAGCTCTCTATGGTCTTATTCCTCTCCTCCTCATCCTCCTTGTCCAGGGCCAGCAGGGACTTCCTCTGATCGTGATATTTAACATAAAGGCAAATAATTAATGGACTGACCCAAGTTTGCCAGGTCAAAGTTTTGTTAAAGTACTTAATTTAAAAAAATGTGTGAAGGAATTTATAGCTTCACCAATTATCTCAGTTTTGATGAGTATGAGCGCTCATTGCCCTATGAAATATTTACAGTTGTTTACCACTATTACATTCCCAACAACTTCCTCAAGAGCAGCATATGTGAGTTTAATGACTCCCTCTTGACTAAGAATTTTATGTCCTCAGGGAAAATATGGAAATTATCATGGACAGGGAAATGTTCAGTGTTTGCTGTCTAGTTTGCAAGTCATACTTACAGCAGCCATAGAATTTATCTGATCAATGTAGAATTCAGGCCAGCTGGTCGCCCCCTTATTCTCTTCCTGTTCCTATGGAAAAACTAAAGATTAGCCAGCATACTGGAATCAAATAAACACACATTTGCCCGACAGGCAGACAGACAGATAGAATTAGACAGACAGACAGATAGATAGACTTAGACAGATAGACAGAAAGAATCAGACAGACAGAAAAAAGTTAATTCTGATTTTAATCTGCAAACATCTGACACAAAAATGTCAACTGTCCTCCACACCAACAGAGATCTTTTTGTACTGCCACATTCTCATGTACTTCAACAGCTACGATGTGTGAGAACATGGCTTATCTAACCATTGCAATTCCGCATCCACCAATCCAAAAGTGTTTGTGAACGGATATGTTATGTGTGTGTGTGTGTGTGTGTGTGTGTGTCAGCTGACACCTTGTTTGAGATGCTTCTTGTTACCTGAAAACAGACACAGACTCTGCACTTCGGCACTACTCCACTCCCAATTTTGAGTTAAACGCTCTGGCAGAGTGCTAAAAGGCTACGATTCAGTCCAAAACATGCCTTTTCCCATAGTAACTTATTCTTTAAAAGCTTTCAATACAAAGCCTGGGGTTTGGAAACAATACCACAGTGTTTTGTGCTATGCTCAAGTGTCTATAATATAGCAGCTGCTTGCTCTTTCAGACTGAGATTGACTTTTGCTGGCCAGGGTAAGTTTGGAATTGGGAATTGGGGTTGTTTTGGGGGGTTTCGCGCACCACATGAGCCGATAAGCTTCCAGGAATCTTATTTAACAAGTCCACCCATTGTTTTATTACCACATTCAGCAATTATACAATTTAACTGAACTATTTTGGACCATAGGGGCTTAGAGATTAATAAAAAGATAGCTTGAAACCAAAAAGAAGGGTGAGAAAGTTCTCATTATAGTTATTATGAACACAAATACTTCATACCAGACATTCACAAGTTCCTTTGCCTCAACATCTTGACAGTAGTTTTAGCACTCATTACATTGCACGGTGTTGGTTCCACATGTTGCTCAGACCCCAAAACTCCACTGGGAGGAGATTTGATCCAGGCCTTGCAGGTGTAGTTGGCTGCAACACTGCATTCAGTGTTTTATTGAGCTGGGATTACACAGCATACAGATTCTTCTAAGACAGTTTTGGTTGAAGCATTTCTGCACATTTCTTCAAATCTGTAGTTCTAAAATAAAATAATATATTGTTTTCCTGAATAAAGTAAATGAAAAATAAATAAAATGAAAACATCTTTTGTGTTTTATATAAAAAAAAGACAAACGAGTTTGGAATTACATGACGGTGAGTAATTGGCAGAATTATTTTTTTTATTTATTCTTCAAGTTGAGAGCTGACAGACTTAAGCTATAAAAATTTCCAACTGAAATTCCATCTCTACTAGTGTATAAGCTTACAAAGCTTTGATCCATCATACAGAAAACCAACATAAATGTTTGCTTTAATATATGAATGAGAATAAACTTCATTCCTAACACCATAATGATTGACAGTATTCTTTTTTTAAGTGTTTTTGGAGGACAATAGGTCAGCAGCTGAAGTTTGATCCCCTGGTGGGTCGTGACCAGGTAACTGGTCATGAACTCCAGCAGCCGTGGACAATCCCCAGGCCACCGCTGTGTGGTTTGCTCTTTAGTTCCACTGGTGTAAATGCCTCTTATAAATGACGGTTTACAGAGTGTGTCAGGGCAGCCTGGGTTCTGTTACCTCTCACTCCTCAGACCCAAATCACACGTACTGTGAAAATAAACCCTCGCACTCAACACCACTTCTCTGTCCCGAAGCCAAGCCTGTGCTAGAGAAGCACCGTTTACATTACGTCCTTTTTTGGATGTACAGTAAGACTGCGATGTGTTCACACATTTAGCTGCTTAGTTTCAAACTCTACGGTCAAGTCAGATTAAATTGGTTTTAGGAAACTGCTATGGATGTTCAAAGGCAGACAAAACACTATGACATGGGTCTTTCTAAAAAAATGGAAAAGGTCCTTGCCCAGTCCCATCAAGTGGCAATGTCTTACCTTCTTCTTGCTACAGTAGATTTGCCATTTCTTCTCAGCAGGAAGGGCAAACATGGCCTCTCTATGTTTCTCCGAGAGATCCAGCTCATCCTGTAGGAGAAGGAGACACGATGAGAGGTTTCAAGTGTATACTCTAAAATTTCGAGCCCAATAAATTATGTTGAATTGGTCACATTCTATAATATAATATAATGCTGTGGTACTGAATATTTATTACTGTATATTTATGCAAATAAGTAAATAAATATCTTACAAACAATGGCTGCACAATTGTTTTTATTATATTTTGGTAAATAAATTTAAAGTTGACAATAAATAAATAAATACCTTTCAAATTACAAGGATTGCACAAAAATATAGATTATATTTAGGATATGTATATTCATGAATATTTATTGAAACTATGAAATGTAAAATGTACAGTAAATAAACAAACTAAAATGATTGGGCAAAATAGGAAAAACATTTTGAGTACATAATAAATGTCAAATGTACTTGGCAGTAACACACACAGGCATCCTATCAAGTCGGCCACGAGGCCTGACAAAACCAACATAACTTAAAGTCTGACATCAGTATCTGGATATCAATGACCCTGAAGCGGGGGTTAATTTCCCACAATTCTGTGTGAGAGAGAGACTTCTTGTTTCCTCACAGCAAAGAAATTATTTAGTCATGTAAACCATCAATTAATGCCTGCACGCTCCTGTGACCTCTGTGCATTCCCATGATGCAGTTCTGGACTAAGTTGGTCATATTCAATCCAGATGTTCGGGCACAAGTTAATTAACATCATGTGAGAGACACATACAGCAAGCAGGTCCAGAGACCACTTTAACAGGCTGCATAAGGAAATAATGAGGATAAAAAGGATGAAAAATACAGGGAAATCGTATAATCCAAATCGTAAGTACTCATGTATATTTGAGCAGAGATTCCAGAGAGAGAACATCACATCCAGACACCACATCTATTGTAGAGGCAGGCAGGTCAAAATCTGATCTTCTCCAGATCGTTCTCTCATACTTTCTCCCTCTTTATGTCTCTACGGAAAAAACTGAGGTTACACTTTATTTCGATAGTCACTTTAGACATTCTACTAACTATAAGTAACTTTTCAACTACATGTCAACTAACTGTCATTAGAGTATTAGTAGACTGTAGGAGACTGTCAATAGACTGTTAGGTTATGGTTAGGTGTTAGGGTTCGGGTTAGGAGAACAAGTTGACTTGTAGTTGCGAAGTTACTTATAGTCAGTAGAATGTCTGTTGGGGGACCAACAAAATAAATCGTTAGCAGATATTAAGTAGACAGTCTTTTAATACTCTAATGACAGTTAGTTGACATGTAGCTCCAAAGTTACTTAAAGTTAGTAGAATGTCTAAAGTGGACTATCAAAATAAAGTGTTACCAAAACTGAACCTGAGACTTTGTTCACTGACAGTCATTTAGATGAAAGCATCCAGTTATCACTTGTTGCTGCTTCTAAGCAGTGACAGTGTTAAATTATAAGACCAGTTTTCTGTTTGAGTTGCCGTGAAAGCAAACGTTCAAATGTTCAAAGATAAAGTTTATAGGACAGCTTTCTCACCTCAAATCGATGCAGAATCAAAAGTCTGCGAGAAGTATTTTCCTGTTAAATCAACTTAACATGACACTGATTGACATCTCAGTTGTGTCTCTCTGTGAGAGCTCAAAGGCTCAGCAGGGGACAGGCTGTGTAAGAGATGGGAGTCTGGCGCATGCAAGTCATCCATGAGCCCATCTGTGCCAAATGCCTGCTGGTCATGCGCTGGTGGGCATGAGACATACAGACGTAACTCTCCTCAATGGAGTCTGCAGCGCTAATGAGGGGACGTGCATTGTCTAACATACTCTTAACTGGACCATTAGCAGGGAATGCTTGGATTCCCCATATTATGGAATCCAAGACAAGCACTGATTCACTCCACAAATGGAGGAATGGTAGAGCAAAGCAGTGCTTTAATAAAGAATAAGCTTTTTCGAACTATTCTGATGGGATTCTTTAGAATGAACCCAGTTAATCATTGTTTGTGATTTTTGGCCATGTGGGCATGCAAGCTTACAAACTTTGCATGTTCTGTCTTAGCAAAAAATGTAATGGTGAAAATTCATCATGGGATGCAAAGACAAGTTCCTTCTGTTTTAATAAGTTATCCTTAACATGCCTGTCAGTATAATATTTGACAAAACCAAAGACCAGATTTGACTTTCAAAGTGGCCTGTGTCCAAAAGTTTAATAAAACAGGGTTAAAAAAACATGAGTGCTCCATCTATCTGTCTACCCACCCATCGATCCATCTAGCATCTATTCACTCATCCTTCCATCCATCTGAGAATTCATCATGGGATACAAAGAAACAAAATAAGTGGTAACACTTTACAATAAGGTTCATTAGTTAACATTAGTTAACTACATTAGTTAGCATGAACTAATAATGAACTGCACTTATACAGCATTTATTAATCTTTGTTAATGTTAATTTCAACATTTACTAATACTTTATTAAAATCTTGTTAACATTATTAATGCACTGTGAACTAACATGAACAAACAATGAACATCTGTATTTTTATTAACTGACATTAACAAAGATTAATAAATACAGTATTAAATCTATTGCTCGTGGTTAGTTCATGTTAGTTAATACATTAACTAATGTTAACTAATGAACCATATTGTAAAGTGTTACCAAATATGTCATCCTTTACATGACTGCCAATAAATGTTTGACAAAACCAAAGACCAGATATGACTTTCAAAGAGGTCTTTTTCCAAAGATCTAAAGTAGCAAGTCCTAAATAGAAAGTTGAATAAAACGTATAGCAAACTAAAAGAAAAATTGACTACAATGAGTGCTTCATCTAGCCATCCATCCGTCTCGCATATATTCCTTACATCCACCCATCTACCCACCATCCATCCATCCACTCACTCGTCTACCCACCCATCCATCCATCCATCCATCCATCCACTCACTCGTCTACACACCCATCCATCCATCCATCCATCCATCCACTCACTCGTCTACCCACCCACCCATCTACCCACCATCCATCCATCCACTCACTCGTCTACCCACCCATCCATCCATCCATCCATCCACTCACTCGTCTACACACCCATCCATCCATCCATCCATCCACTCACTCGTCTACCCACCCACCCATCTACCCACCATCCATCCATCCACTCACTCGTCTACCCACCCATCCATCCATCCATCCATCCACTCACTCGTCTACACACCCATCCATCCATCAAAAAATTCATCATGGGATACAAAGAAAAGTTCCTCTCTGTTTTAATAAGTTATCCTTTACATGCCTACCAATATAATGTTTGACAAAACCAAAGACCAGATTTGACTTTCAAAGTGGTCTGTTTCCAAAGATCCAAACCTATCCATCAATCCATCAATCCATCCATCCATCCAGTCACCCATCTATCCATCTATCCACAGAGTATGGGAAATAAATAAAATAAAAGAGAAAGGAAACGAAAGAGTCTGTGGTCATGGTACAGCACATACCACCAGTTCAGTGAACATGGCATCCAGTTCCTCGGAGGAGGGCATGGGCAGGGTGGGCTCCATGGTTTGCAGTGTGAAGTTGCTGTCATGGCGGAGGCGGTAGGTGATCTCAGGCTGGTCCCGTCCCTTTAGACAGCAGCAGAGGAATGACAGGCCCCGTCCTCCTCGCTTACGTGGGGCCATCATGGCCAGAGGCCCAGCCAGTCAAATGTGTCTCGCTTCAGCTACGACACCCTGTCCAAGAGAAAACAAAGAGAGAAAATGAGGAGGGGTGATATCAAAGCTGCAAAAAAAAGGATACTGGGAATAATTTTTTAGAAGACTGGAGAGTAATGATGCTGAAAATACAGTTTTGCAATCACAGGAATAAATTATACTTTAAAATAACCTTTTTTATATATATATATATATTTTTTTTTTTTTAAATTGTAATAATATTTTTACAATATTGTTGATCGAGCAAATAAATGCAGCCTAAGTGAAGATAAGAGACTTACCAAACGGTAGTTATTTCCAAAAAATGAGAAATGGGATTCACTGTTTGTGTCTCTGTGCAGTGATACTCATATGCAGCACTGTATGATCTTACATCCCATTACAACAATCACATAAGCCTCATAAACTCCAGAAACACACAGTGACAAGATTCGACACGCAGATTGTCATGTAGACAGATAAAATATAGCCATAAAAGCAATAAGCTCTCACATTACACTATTTGGTGTTTTTCTTCTCCAGGTCTTCAGAAGCCATATGATAGCTTTTTGTAAGAAACTAACCAGTGTAAAATTTGATCTTCTCCACATCAAGATAAAATTTTGGTCTTTTCTTCACACAAAGCTATCGTATGACTTCAGAAGACTTGAAATATAGTGCATAAACGAGGGTGCTTTTTATATCCTTTTTTGGGATGAATGAACTTTCTTCAAACCTTACACAGATTTGGAACGTCATGAGGGTGAGTAAATGATGATTGAAATAAAAAAAATTTAAACCTTCTTTGAATACCTTTAACACCAGGGGCGTGATGTATAAACGTTGCATATGCACAAAATGGGCATTATATATTATATAGAAACATCATAAAATATATGTTTACCTTATAGGAAAAAATTGCATAGATCTGTTTTAAAGCAATTAAAAATACTTTTTGGCCAGTGGAAAATATTGAGAATAACTCTTCTCTGAAAACTTTATCTGAAATGTATACTTATTCTAAAACAAGGCAAGTATACTGAATGATTCTTAATCTTAGCAATGTAATGCACATAGTCCGTATCTCATATTTTCCTAATGTCTTGCATCGTTAAACATGATATCACGTGGATGGGAATATGCATGAATAGCAAAACTATGCGTTGTAAGCTCCATATATGGTTATTTCGTGGAGGAGATGGGTTGGAGATGCATAATCATCCGCAGACTGGGTATTATAAAGGGAATTTTGCACAGGTTCTGGCGTACCTTTTGTGTGTATATGCAAAATCTAGCTTTTGTGCGTTCACACAATTTTAGGATGAAATCTGCAGAAAGTTTTATACATGAGGCCCCTGGTTACTCCCTTTGTGTCTCTTCACAATAAAAGTGTCTGTCTGCCAAATGACTACTTACTAAACCACATCATCACCTTGTTTGGTCTAGATGTCCCTTGTTTGATGTCCCAGATTTCATAAAACACAAAAGATACACATACACAAAGATTTGTCTGTCTGTAGTCTATATCCCCAGACCTCACACAATGAAACTAGCCCTCACCTCTCAATAGACTAAACCGTGTTCATCTTCCCTTTCTCCATATAAGGAATAACAGAGAAAGTTACCATGCCCAACTTTATCTTCATCCAGTCCTGCTTTAATGAGTACACCGGCCTGAGCTCCAGCGCTAAAGCCATCATGACCCAGAAGCCGTCAAACATAAACTTCACTCTGAATTTATGATCAGACCCAGAAGCTCAAAGTGACCAGATGTTTCCCTTTAGAAGAACAGGGACATAAATACTTAAATGGCTTCAGGATTAGACTGGAGTTTATAGTACGTGTGTTTGTGTAAAATCTGCTCAGTGTACTTGACCCTGCAGAGCAGGTTTATAGTGCCATCATACCCAAACACAGACTTAAATGGTGATGCCAAACATGATCCGCTATCCAGTTTGACCTCTGAATGTTTGTCTGCAGCTTATCTGAAAAAAGAAACTGCTAAAAATCGCAGTTTTTTTTAATTATCAGACCATCAACCATCAGAATCAGAATATAAAAGCAATTTTTGGAGGCTTTTGTCATTTTTATTTAGAAGATGGTGGAGAATTGACAGGAAAAAGAAGGGATGAACAAAGAAATGACCCAAGCCAGACTCAAACTCTGGGTGAACAAATAGCTAAATTATATTAAAAACAACTACTACAACTTGAAAACAGTATTTAGCCTAACTGAATGCTTATTTACCAAAAAAAAAGTTATTTCATGCAGGGACATCTGTGTAACCCCATTGAGATATTTAAAATGAATCTGTGAATCATTTCTTTCAACTGGTTTTTTAACATGAATCTTCAGAATGATTCGCTAAAATCAATAGGACTTCCAAATGCTTCTTGAAATCGAGAACGGCTATTGTTAGTGTGTTTGATTATTGCCTATGCTTATTTGGTTAGTAGGCTACATGCACAGTACAACATGGCATTAAAATGTACGTGTCATTTGTGAGAATTTTGTTATGCTATACACAACTTCTGAAAACAGAATGATGCAGAAAAAGCTATAGTAGAAAATATCTAAAAGACTGACATGCTACTGAAAAATGTAGTTAAATTACTACGGATGCAACTTTTAGTCTAGTTAATACTCAACTATTATCTCAAAAGGAAGGAAACCCCTTGTTTGAATACTTATTGTTTCAGTGAAGACCAGGATTTCAAACCATGAATTCAAGTAAGCAGAATCTCTCATAGAATTAGGTTCAAGATATAGCTAGACATAGAAATGTAAAACTACAGTAGGCTTTTGTCTGTAAACTCATAATAGGCCTATGCACTGCACAACCTAAGTAAGTCACATCCAGATGAGAAAGATAAAAAAGGAAGGAAGGAAGGAAGGAAGCAAAGAGAAAGGAAACTCTCCTGTGTTTTTTCTGAGCCTTGAAACGAATGATTCACTCAGCCATGTCAACAACCTGGATGTTCACACTAACACGGCCTTGAGTAATTTCCCAACAAGGAAGAGTATCTCGATTCTCACACTGTAACCATTTAGCAGCGATAACCCAGCAGAGCAGACACAGCTGTTCTGCTGAGCGAGGCTGGGAATTTTCTCACCGCTGGGTTTATTTCATGGTGTGAAAATATCTCCGGCCTGGCTAGCTGGTCAAATGATCAGTGGGTAAAGACCACACACTTCACACTATAAAAATGGATTCCACTTTTTCAGAGCAACTTATAGCACAATTGCTTAGCAACACTTCTTAGCAACATTACATTTATTAATTTAGAAGATGGGTAAATCTCACAAACACATCAAGAACACATTTTGTATAATGAAGCCTATTTATAGGACCATTTGTTTTGCATGATGACATTTAAAAAACAATCACATTTCCCCCCAAACTCTCATTACTGTAATGCATTAAGTGAATTTGATTTTGAGATTTATTTTGTAATTCCCATTGTACTGATAATACTCTTTTCTCATTACTGTCACTGTGTGGGTTGCAGCAAGGAGGAGATGCAGGATCTAGTTGTTGCAGCAATTAAATTTATTTACAAAAGAACCAAAATACATAACACGTAAGAAAACCAGGTGAACAAGGAGGATAAAGCAAACCACTGTGATATCAATGAGAACGGACAAAGAACTACTAAAACTAAAGGCTACATATACATAGGTTAACTAAGCAGACTAAAACCGGTGCGCAACTAATGAAGACAAGGGGCAAACTCCAAATGGCATTTTTGTACCCTTTGAAGGGCACCCCATTTATAGGGGTGTTCCAGATGAAAGTGAAAAACTGAATCCCTTCACGAAGGGCCCTTCCACAAGTCCGTTAGCGAAGGGAATATGCAATGGTCACTTCAAGGAAGTAATTTAACCTTTATGGTCATGTGACCCAGGGTGACAAGTCCTCATGCACGACTCTTTTAAATCTAGAAATGGCGGGAGTTGTAGTTAAGTTAACAGAATTATTCAAATTGTTTTTGTTAACAAAATATATTACACACATTTGCGTCATGCATTTCATGTTAAGTTTAAAAAAGAAGTAAGAAATATGTTTAATGTTTTATGCGTTTAATGCTTAACTTATAAAGTTAAAGGCAGATTGGGAACACACAAACATATAAAGCATGTTTTAAAAAACTTCATTATAAATGTACATTTATTTGTATCATATTAACAAGACATTTCTGTGTCTAGCTTTGTCGCCTTCTAGCTTTGTCGTGGTAAGCTTGTGAAGGCAAGCTAATGAGAAAATTGACCTGTCTTTCATTGCTCCCTTCACCAAGTGCGTTCCAAACAGCGACACACAAGTACCCTGCTCCCTTCAAAGTCACCCTTCAAGGGCTCTGCCCATTGGAGTGAGTAGGGCATAGGGATGCTCACTTCCGATTGGTTTTTGAACAAAGGAAACAGGAACAGAACACAGGAAAACAAGATGATACAAACTAAATCTTCATGAAAACAGAACATAAACCTGACAATTACATTCTCAGTACTATTAATTACATTAAAGCCAGTACAACAAACACTACTTATACTCCTGATAAGTACATATGTTTGTATAGATATATACGTTTGACTCAAAGCCAAAAGAAGATATTCTGTGTATATTTTAAGGTTGGACTGCATCAACTAAAAATACAGAGTAAAATGAGAGGCATTTATTTAATTTCAGTGTTTTGTGAGCAATATCCGATAAACCAAGTGAATAATGCAAGCAGCACACAGTATGCCACTGTAAATCATTCACAAGCGGCAGATTTTAATCCCACGTGCCACTGCTGGATGTCCTTGTTCGCAAGGTCTGATCCAAACTATGACCCACAAGCAAACACCGCAAAGCAAATATTCTCCTCTTTTGTAATTCAAACACGATACAATGCAGGAGCTTATCTGACAAAAGTCAAAATAAAAACGGCTAATCCAAATCTCCACATCTTGTCCAAACAAAGCATTGGGATCGCCTGGGACCAAAATAATCTTTACATCCTGGGAAACCCATAAAAATGTAAACATCTTACATTACAAAA